TTAAACTATCTCAACGTGGAGGATTTAATTATATTTTTTATTGGCTGCTTTTCAATTAATTTCTGCCTAGATAGTCTTGTTGGTAGAACGTTGGGCTCGTGTTCGTGAGAACGGAAGTTCGAATTCCACCGGCCGAAGAGTCCCCGTGTATTAAATGGTGATTGGTGCTCGTTAAGTCTTTCAGGGTCACAAAGTCCTCCAAGTTCCCTTAGAAAATCAATACCTTTGGCGGTACTGAATTGGAGATGAAAAGTTCTCTGGTTCAGGTCAAAATTACGATCTGTGGATAAATAAATGGAGTATGATTGGGTCATTCCTGTAAAACGGGCTGTGACGTCCGCGTGGCTAAAGTCGTATTCTTGTCCATAGATGGTACTACTGAAAAACAAGAACCACACCCTCTACCTTAAAAATTCGCTTGATTTCAAACAGGCTTGTTAATTGGCAAGAAGCATAAGTAGCAGAAACAAATTAATTTTCAGGAATGACGAGCGTTTTGGATTTAATTGTGTAACCAATCCCGGTTAAAGTTGTAATCTTAATCTAACTTTTATCATTTCAAGAACTTTTTACCCTTACATGTAGTTAATTCTATTTAAGAAATTTATAATTTCTACCTATTTACTGAATTTATACATTCTCTCATGTAGCGACTTTAAACCATGGGTATCTCAGGCTTCCAATTTCGGAGGGGGGCAAAATTAAAATACATACATAGTTACTATAGCTCTCGAAATTTCAAAATGTTTTAACTCTTTTTAACTTTGCTAAGCTTAAATCGATGACGATTCATGAAACTTTTGTTTATATGTCTGGAATATAAGAATGCGCACGTACGTCCCTCGCTTCAACGTCGCCCATCCTGTATAGACATCATTTATAAGAGAAGACTTTGTTTTAATTAAAAGTTTTATTTTGAATTTTTTTTATTTCCAATGGCCGGAAAAACAATCACATACAAGAAGAAGAAGAAGCATCCGAAGGAATCATAAAAAGTAAAAGAAAGACTGAAGTCATTTCCCCAGAAGCTCTCTCGCACGCCAATATTTAGCAGTCTCGAAGTCAAGACCATAAAGTGACATATAGCGATGGAGATATTTTCACTTCATAGGTTCTTTAAAATCACATAGTCGACAATCAGGATGCGTAAGCGATACAACTGTTCTCCCAAGCCAGTCGTGTTCTGTTCGAAGACGAAAGAGAGCTACAGCATCTCGGCAAGGCTGGTCTGGTATTGCCTCCATACCTGCCTCCACTCCAGTTCTTATTCTTAATACAAGGTTATTCATAATTCCCTCCGCCTGTAAACGCCATTTTTCTGGCTTCAGTGGTACATGTTACTGCCATCTACCGGCAACTGCTTAAATTAAAACTTGAATACTTTCGGAATAATATCATATGTTCTTTTTTGCCATATTCGTCTTCGTTTTTTTACTATAACGCTTCGAAACTCCGGAGGGAATTATGAATAACCCTGTACTATCTCGTATCCAAGAGGAAGTATTCATTTTCATAATGTTATTAAAAATTGTTTTATCGAGTGGTAGAGCAATTTGGTCGAACCATACTGAGTGCCCTCCCGAGCGGGGAAGTCAGCCTGCTCGTTACCGTAAATGCCACAATGGCTGGGAATCCACTGGATGGCAACGCTTCTTTTCATCAGTATTAGAAGCCTGATGATCTCCTAGCACTGGAGTACCTTATCTGATAAAGTGTTTCCTTGTAAACTAATTGCTTGGATTGCAGCCTGGGAATCTGAAAGTAAAACAACTTTTTCAAACTTGTAGTGGATAAATAATAGTTGCCTCATTGCAATAAATAAAGCCTGAAATTCGCCATCAAAGATTGTACTGTATTTCCCGGCAGAGCCACAGAATAAAAACAAATCAGAAAAAACTCCAGAACCTGCTGACATGCGTGGGTCAGAATAGGAGTCATCTGTATAAACATGTAGCCAATGGTCTTCTGGGTTCTCGGTATGAATGGTTACCAATACAGGAGGTTTCAAATTTCTGAAACTGTCCGACTCTTTATGAGGATTTTTTTTGTCATTTGACATTTAATTCATAAAATTATTAAAAAGTTATCAAAAATGTGCGAAACTTTTTAGTCCCATTAAATACTATCGATTTTAAACTTTGATAAATATTTTTTTTAATCTTCAAAATTATTTTCTACTTTATCATAAAATTTTTAACTTGGGAATTACAACACATTATAAAATTTTGATTAAAGTTAAGCATTTAATACTTAGTTTTATAACTAGTTGAAAATGCTAAAAGATCAATAAAAATATAGACTTGCTGACAACATAGATCAAGTTAGAGGAATTATAAAATGGCATCCTCGAACGAAATATCAGCAAAATATTATCTCATGGTTTCTCAACGATGTTTGTAAGGGAAATCACAAGCGCTGTAGAATATTGATTGATATTTATTTAATTTCGTGCATTTTAAAGTCTTTATTCTGCTGGAAATAAAAATTCTGAACACTTCTCTTTAATATAAGTGGAGCATAGTATAAAAAGGATTATGATTTCTTGCTCATAATATGAAAATGATATTAAGGTATTAATGAATTAAGGTCGTATCTCTAAAAGGATAAGAGGGTAAAAGAGGGATAGACTTAAATACTATCTAGTATTTTTAAAATTTTTTTAAGTTGAATCAAGCGTTTAGTATTATAGAAGTTATTTATGTTCTATGTATAAAAGTACAGCTTATATATACATATTTACGGATCTAACATTACTAACTAGGCAAGCATACGCCAAATCGAATAAGAATAAGCAGTATGATTTAATAGTTTAGTAGTTCGAAAATTTATAAAAGATTCATGTATAGAAAGTGCAATTTTTTGACTTAGACTTAAACCATTTTATACCACTAACATTGCTGTCTAGACAAGTGAGGCATTTCTTCCAATTTAATTTTTTACGCTTAATCTGAATTGAAATAATTGTTCAGAAGAAATTAGGGTTTAATGTATGAAATATACAATTTTTGACTTAGTTTTTACTCATAAAATATATATAACATCAAAAATATTAGATCTATTAAATCAATTCTAATTTCTTTTTAATTTAGACTTAAAAATACATAATAAGTCATGTCTGACTTGTCTATACAACAATGTCTCAGAATTTTATTGTCACTAAATTCATTTACATTGTATTAATTGCAATTATTATCAGGGATATCGCTTTTGTGAAATACCAATTTTTTTAAAAAAAAATTCATGCCTAAATGCAAGAGGATTTTCTTTGTCATACTCACAATTCATTATTGTAAAATTTGAAACATTTATTATTGGTATAAGATAATTTAATAAAAAATTGCAGGATTTTATTTTAAGACAAATTAATAGTTCAGGACACAAATTTCAGGACTTAAAATTTCAGGACAAATTGCAACTTTTTAACAAACATTTTCATTTATTTATATGATCTTCTCTGCCAAGCACAGTATTCAACCCAGTTTTTAATAATTTTACAAAATAGCTGTTGTTATATAATAGCTGTTTTTTCATATCAATATAATATTACTACGGGGAATATTTTTGTAACAGACGTTTTGTTTTGTTGCGTTTGCAGCACTGGGTTAATCGAGTTCTTGAACGAAAAATGACGCTCTTAATTAATTTGCATAGCAAATTAATTAACCTATGTGAATTATTCAGAGGCGTCATTTTTCGTTCATATTCCGTCTTTTTTATTCTTCCTGATTGGGACTTAAATAGTTTCATCAAGAAAATCCTGATAAAAACCTCAAAAATGAGAAATTTTATAAGAGAAAAATAAAGGGACATTTTATTATTTATTATATGTAGATGAAGAAATAAATTAAATCTTTGTGCTATAGAAATAAATTAAATTTTTGTGCTATAAAGATTTGTCGTGTAAAATGTTTTAAATCTAATCAACACTTCAATAACTCAACAATTTAATTCAAAATTTTTAAAATGGGTAAAGGAGGGGCTGTTCACTTACTATAATTATTATACTTTTTAATAATTTTAGGCACAGTTTTTGATAATGTTAATGTGGACATTTGAAACTATTAAAAAACAATTTTTATGAAGAAAAACGAGTTCTGATTAAGGTCATGGATTCACAACTTTAAATTCAAAGAAGAAGCTTTATTTTTCCTTCAAAATATTTTAAAAGCCCTAATTTTAATTGCATTTTATAATTACTCTATTTACTATTCTTGGTGCAAATAAATTTTAAAACACTAATAAATAAAAAATTTGAACAAATTTTAATTTTGAAAATCCTAAATTTTAAAACATCATTGTTAACTATATTAATGAAACATTATCTTATAAACCTTTAAACATTGCTTGAGGATATGGGGGGAAAGCCATGATTAATGATAGTGATGTGCTTTTTTATGCAATACGGGAATAAAATATCCTGAAAAACTTCGATTCTTATGAGCTGATGTTCACAACTATATACCAATTTCAAAGATTCAAAAGTGTGTTTTTAATTATGCTAGTGAGTTAGTGCATACAATATTTTAAGTAGCGAATTTTTTCAAAAAACAGATTTTTCGGAATATTTTAACGATATTAAGAAATTTTTCCTCTTTATCCGTCTATCACTAAGTATTTTTTTTGTCCGTGCTAGCCCTAAGCAGAGCACGTATCAATCTGTCACGACTTTTTGATTCGAACCTGGATCACCTTCCCTTGAGCCCTTCCCTTGTGCCAAGATTCCCAACAACAAAAATAAGATTAAGGGATATTCCCGCATCTGATTTCCCAATGCGAATATTTAGAAACAGCATAGCTATTTTTCCTGGATGTGACTTATTTTTTTTCGTATGCGATTGAGAACCTGTATGACGCACGGGATTTTTTCGTGCGCATTCAGTGAGATAGGTCCTTTATTGCATGGTGTTCAGTCACACGCACGTGCAATCACATGTCCGAAGAAGAGCAATAAAAATGGTCTATGAATTCCATTTATAAAAACTTGTTTTTACTACAGCTAAAATATAACAAAAACAGGCAGCTGGAAGCTTTTATAATCAATAATCAATCAATTAACGTAAATATGGCAAAGAAAATAAACAAACGAAGCGTTTCTAATTTAAAAACTAATAATAGGAAAGAGAAAAATAACATTAAAAATAAACCTAAAAAAGTTACCCCAGACGAAAATTCTTCAACCCCAGCATTCTCATTTTCTAATCGTTTATCAAAAGTCGATGGAATACGTCCCTTTTCTATCGCCGCCTTGGGTATCTTATATATACTTTCCATTTTAAATATAAATATATACACTCTCCATTTTTAATTAAATTCTTTCTTGGAAATAATTTTATGAAATGGTGAATATTTCGTTAAAAGGGCTTTTAATTTTCTGCACTTTTTAATTAATTTTAAATTTTTCTAATGCCGGTAAATTCACTATAGCAAATCCCGTTGTTTTTGAGATATTAAAATAATGGTTTAAGAAGGGATATTTTGGTGTCGTGATCTCTTGCGTCAACTGCAATGTCCAAGGTACTACTAAATAGATATAAAACCTGTAAATTAAAAAAAAAAAAAAAATCATGAAGAGATTTGCCTGCCATTGGATGGTTACAAGTATACCCTTTACATTGGTCCCTATCTGCCATTATAATTATTATTTTAGTTTTCGTGGCCCACTGTCAGGAAGTTGCTAAGATTTGGTAATTATTTTTGTTCAAATCATAAAAGGATTTGCGCGTTGTAATCTGTGGCAGAATAATCGCCAAGTTTTATTTGCAGGAAATTTTTTTTTATAAAGAAAAACTCCAGAAAGGGGATAACTTATAACCTAAAACTTGTAGTCACCCTCAGGCAAACCTCTACAGATTTTTGTAGAAAGAAAAAAAAAGCATTTGCAAGTTTAATACCCATTTGGCACTTGGTCAATTATAGTTTGTGCTACAGATCAAGATATGACAATATCCCCTACAATACGTAAATAATTACAATGTGTAAATATTCCCAATTATGTATTGGTAACTGCATCAAAATAATAATACCATCACTTTGGTGCAGTTTAGTTGGTAAAAGTGCCAAAATAAGTTTTTGTAACAGCCTAAAAGAAGCATGTAAAAAATTTTAAAAAATAATTATGAAATAAAGTAGGTTAAGATTCAAACTTTCAGGCAAGCTACCATATTTGTTTTTCATTACTCGAAATATAATAACCAGTCAGATTAACTTTGAGATTGAAGTTGTTATCGACAGATACCAATATAGAAATATCTCCAATTAAACTAAGCTCTGAAATTTCACATCTGCTGTAGATCAACTGAGGTTGTTATGAACCTGACTTAGATGCTGTTCAAAATATCTATGTCTAAAGTAGTTCTTGTTTTGCGTTGTTTGATAAGTAAAATTACATAAACAAAAAATACATTTTAATAAATAATATCCATATACTAAGCTGCTTAAAAAAATTTTTTATGAAATTTGTGTACATACCAGCTAATATTTTATCATCATAAAAATTTAATGCTATTATTACTATTATGCTTAATGTAATGCTAAGATTAAAAGTTATCAAAAGGTTATTTTTTTGACATTTTTTTTTTTCAGTGAGCATACATTATGTTTGAAATTTAAAAATTCTTTATTGTTTTCTGTATTTTAAAAGGAAATAAACTTTGAAATAGCCAAAAAACTGAACAATAATAATGCAATAATTTATTAGAATATTAATTTTTACCTGTTATGTAAAAATACAGAAAACAAGAATGTCATATTGATTGTGATTTATTCTAGCTCTAAAATCAAAATTTATCAGACACCATTTTATAATTTTTTTTTTGTTATTTGTATTCAGTTTACCATTTATTCAAAAAATCATTTATTTATTATTAATTCATATAACTATTTTTTTTAAAATGAAGTCTATTTTATTTAATGTGAAAATTAATTTCTTTATAGCGGTGCTGTTTGGATTTTTCAACAGGTAATTTTTCTACATTTATATATTTGCTTACATATATATATATATAAATGATTGGTCTGTTCTATATGTTTTGTATACTTTTTAATGGCGTTTTTGATAGTTGTGCCAACTATGATGAACCAGATAAGTGACATTTTCAGAGTGGCTATAATTAACTAAAACAATGAGGAGAAAAAAAGTGGTATCCGAACTATTTTAATCTAAATTTATTGGAAGGCACAGTTAGCACTTCTTTGCCTTATTTTATTTACCACTACCTACTTTTAAACTTAATTTGGTAGTTGTAATACCTACCATAATTGCAAACATGCTCAAAAGTAATGTGATTAAAGTAATCAAATTAAAGTGAAAGCAAAAATAATTGTGTTACATTAAACATTTATTTACATTAATGCTACCACTTATATACAATGTTATTTTTCCTGATTAGTTTGATTAATAAATACCCCAGAAAATGTCGCTTATTTGCTTCTTCATCCAAGCTCATCATATGCTTAAGTTTTTATTATTAGAGCGAATGAATAAAATGGACTCTTGAATTATTAAACATAGATTGTTAGCTTATTTATATAAAATGTGGTACAGTACAGAACCCATAATCCGGAAATCAGAAAACCGGAAAACCAAAACCCCTGGACAGCAAATTGTGACTCTTATATAAAATGGCCACATGAATTTATTTTGATCACTGATGTATGTTGTTGATTTTTTTAATCTCTGCACAGGAAACAAGCTCCATCCAGTTTGTATTATATGACAAATCTTTCTTTTTATCAGTTAATTTGTATACTTAAACTAACAATCATGTATTTTTTTTAATTATATATTAATACAACTTAAATTTATAATAGTTACCATCAAGCAACTATGTTTGAAAATGACAGACATTTTTCACATTTATCAACGTTGGAGAGAGAAATGACTTTCAGAACTGAAATGGTATGTCCTGTTTTTTTTATTAAAAACTTTCTGATATTTCTTTTCCCTAATAATATTATGGTGTTTCTAATTTTAGAATTCAATAGTGATTAAAAGTATGTGATAAATTAATTTTTTTTCTTTTTTTCCTATTAACTTTATTGTACTATTTTTAATTATATTTTTATTAATTTTGGGAAAGTGAAATTTTGTAATCAAAAAAATTACTGATGAGCCGGAAAAAATATAACCCAGTCTTTAAAAAAAATAATAATAAAATAAAAAACAAGAGTGCTTTTTGCAATACTTGTCTACTCTTTTTTTAATTTTACCCTTTTTTTATTTAACATACCATTTTAATTAAATCGTAGCATAGAGCACAAATAAAATTGGTGCCCACCAGTATGGTATTGGGTGTTCCTGAGCTAGAGTATTAATTAGTTTATTTAAAATGAATCACTAAGAGGAATGACAATACAAGATTCAATTTCTCTTAACTGCTGCACTTAAAATTTATATCCAGGTCAAATTCTGACCTTTTTCCTATTAGTTTGAGTGATCAGCTAGAGATCTGTGTCTGACGATAATACAATTCTAATTGCTCTTTGACCAGAATTTTATCACAAAAAAAAAATTTTGTGATCACTTTCTGGCTATCTAGAGTGCTGAAATTTCAACTAAAACTCAATGATCACTGTACAAATTTTAACCATTTCTACAAGTAGAAATGATTTCCAAACCGAATTTAATGTCAGGCGCAATTTTGGTGTCTTTTCCAAATAATTAGAGTGCCAAAATTTCTACTGGAGCTCTGTGCCAGTTGACAATATAAGGCCATAAAAAATAATTATTTATTAAAATTTCAAACACTTTCCAACAAAGAAATAATGTATATATCAGTGTTTAAATTAATTATTCAAACTCCCAAAAATTTTACTAAAATGCGGTGGAAGATCTATATACCCTTAATAAATTAAGACATTCCTTAATCCTAAATATTGATGCTTTATAAACAATGAGATGATATGAATAACTCTGTATCAATTTACCCATTTCAAGTACTATTTTTTTTATGTTATATACAATTAATTTTGTATTTTCTTATATCATATTTTCTTTGCATATAACACTTTAAGTTACATTTAGAAAAAAATAAAGATAAGAAAAATTATTCACTAGGATTTTAAAATGCATAACACGCTGAAAACTTTTTTAAAGCATACCATAAAGCTGCAAATTTCACGATTCCAGAACATCATTTGTGTCAGATTCAATAATGTTATACATCTTTATTTGAGAGCTAATATATCATCCAGAGAGAACAATGTGAAATATTTTCAACTTAAATTTTGCAGCTTTAATAATTTTTGATGCTTTTCTTAGTTTTAAAAATTTCTTCATTTGATTTTTCTTTAGCGGTCATCTTTTACCTCCGACATTCCGAAATTAGCTATCTCATTATCAAAAATAGGGGTCAACTTATACACGAGATATATGGCATAAAAGTAAAAAAGGAAATATTCTTCCAATCACCTATCATAGGCCAGAGTGGTCATAAAGGTAAAAGTTCCTCAATTTCCTGATCAATGGCATGATTTTGGTAATATTGCCATCAATGCGCATTTACTTCTTAGACATGCTAGCTACCCATTATTCTGAAGCTGGGTCGGCTTCAAATCACTATTGAGAGTTCGAAGTATCATACAAAAATATTTTAATTTTTAAATATGGGCATAACTTATAAAGGAATTTTTTGTAAATTTCAGGGACTATACTATTTTTACTACAAGCGAATGACAGAATCACCTTCATTTTTGAATGGATTGCATCAAATCATGAATGATAATCTCACAGAGTACCCATCAACCATTAATACATTAGAAAGATTTACTTTGTACCCTGAAGTAAGTTTATTAAAGTTAACATATCCTAAAAACATATTTTAAAATTCTTATATTAGCAAAAATATGTTTCTTTTTTACCATTTGTATTTATAGTTTTTTCTTTTTATGTATTATTATTTATATTCTTTTTCTAAAAACTTAAGTTCTGGAATTGTTAAGATACTAAACCAATTCTTTACTTTTCTATTATCAAGGCAGTGCATACTTCCAAAGGTTTCGGTATCATTTTTACCAAGGAAATAAAAAAAAAACATATTTTTGAATGTGCTACATAATAAGGGTGCATACATAATAAAGGTGCATATATAATGAAGGTGCATAATAATGGTGCATAATAAAGGCTTTCAAATGATAACAATGTAAAAAACGTTATTTTGTTGATAAAAAAACAATGGAGTTCAACTGCATTTATCTCTCTCTGCATTTATCTCTCTCAGTATTATGACAAAGATAACGTCAATCAATTTTAATGTCGGTGTATTCACATACAAAAAGTAGTTCTCAATCCCAGTCACTATACTTAACAACCAGTGCAGTATTGTTTAGAAGGAGGAATGCATATTTACACTTAAAATTACATGGAAATATTAATGTCCATTTCTCCCTTTAAGAATATTTTTTCTACAATTCTAAGAAATAATATTGCAAGTGATATTCACTTTTTTAAAGAAAAAAGTTATGTATGTAAATGTGTGAAATAATAATTCATTAGTTACATTATGCTAGAGCTGCACTAATGGGTAATTGGTGATAGTTTTGGATTCATCAGTACGAGGATCTGAAATCACCATATTGATCATTGAGCAGCTGGTGGTAATAATCAATATTTAAACCATGCTCCTCATCTGTATTTGCAGTTTCCCAGGTCTGAAACTACAAAAAACATTACTTTCAAGTTTATTCGAAATCATATAAATACGATTGTACTAAGTGCAATCTATTCAGACACCTAGCATTTAGCATAGAGAACAGAACCCAAGCTCACACTCTGGTTAATGCATAATGATGGTAATGTTTTCTTGTTAATGCATGAATGATTATTGGATAATAAGTGGCTAGTCACATTATATTTAAGTGTATTTTAAGCCTCTAAAACTCAATTGAAGCGGTCAATGTTAAAAGTGGGTATGTTACAAATCTGCACCTTCGAGAAAAAACAAAAAAACTGTGTCAATTGTGGAGAGATTGTTTTAAATGCTTCCACATTATTGGCTCCTCGTTTTTAGGCAGTCTAGGAAATTACACAGCATTTGATAATCACTGATTTATATTCCCTAATCAACAAAAAACTTATTTCCGTAAAAATTTTACACACCCCTTTTAAAATTGACTGCTTCAATTGGATAAATGAATCAGACACCCAGTTTTTAACACTGAGCCTAAAGCCCTGGTAGTCAAAGAAGTGATATGAATGGTTACTGTATAATAAATGGACAGGCACAATAAATTTAGGTGGATTCTAAACCTCTGAGACACAATTGGAGAAAGTGTAATTGGATCAGACATCCAGCCTTTAGCATTAGTTGTAGAATCCCAACTCGAACCCTGGTTGGCAAAGATGTGATATCATGAACTGTAGTTGTACTTAACAAATGGACAAAGACATTATGTGTAGATGGATTCTGAACCTCTAAGATACAATTGCAAAGTGTAATCGCATCAGACATCCAGACTATAGCACAAGTAGTAGAACCCCAGCTTAAACACAAGTAGGCAAAGATATGATATAATGAACAATCACTGTCTAATGAATGGCGAGATACATTGCATTTAGGTGGATTCCAAACCTCTAAGACTCAATTGGATTAAATGTAATTGGATCAGACATCCAGCCTTCTACGCAGGTTGTAGAATTCCATCTCTTACTCTGGTAGGCTAAGGTGTGACGTAATGAACTGGTTCTGTATAATAAATGGCCGTGGACATTGCATTTTAGTGGATTTCAAACCACAATTGGACAAAGTCGTATCTGGTCAGACCCACGATTTTTAGCATGGGTTATTGATCCCTGGCAAAACCAATGTAAGTGGTGATGAGTATCTTTAATAATAAATGGCAAATACTATGAAATTTTTAGTCATATTTTTTTTAAATCTCTGTTCGGTGTTATTTTGTTGTTTTTCACATGTAATTTATTGAATACATTTTAATTTACAGGTTGTACTAGCTGCTAGTTATAGAAATATTCAGTCTATAGCTAATTTTTTAAATATCAGCATCAAAGAATGTTGGCAGGTTCTTAGAGGTGATAATTTACCACCTATTGAAAGTTGTGAAGGTAATTATAAGTAGTCATGGCTATCTTTAAAATTTTTTTAGTTTTTATTTGAAGTTTTATCTTGGCATAATTTTTGTGTATCTATCTATATATATATATAGCTATAAGCAGCAGCAAATATATTTTTTTTTATTTATTGGTAAAGTCAAAGAGCATGGTCATGCTATTTCATTAACTGGATATTGCCATTAGAACATATGTTTGTCTAAAGAAAAAATAATAAAATATATTGTTACGTGATATCAGGTAGAAAATATTTAGTTTATAAATGCCTCTGTACTAAACTGCTACAATGAAATCAAAAATTTTCTGCAAGGAAATGAATAGTGTTTATTTTAATATTTATTTGAAAAAGGCATTTTGCATTAGTATAGTTTTTAGAGCACATTTTTGAAAGAGCTATAAATTAATAGCTGTGACTGTTCATGTTCTCAATCAATATGTTGATATATAATTTAAAAATACTAATTTTTAGTTTTATTAATTATTCAAACTATAGCAATAAAATAAATGAATCATAAAGCAGTTTTGATATCATTATTATTTTTGAACCAAATATAGTTACTTCATATTCAAATGTAAATCACTAACTTATGTTTTCTATGGCTTTTTATGAGCTGTTGATATCACCCTTTAGATATAAATGCTGTGTTATGTTGTTGAAACGTGTAATATCCACTTAACTTTAATTCCTTTAGCATTGATATTAAATTTTTTAGCTTGTACATGTTCTCTTGCATTTTCTTAGAGAATTTGATATAAATATTATAGTTTTCTGAAATTTTTAAGCAATATTTTTTTCAATTATAGGTGTTGGAGATCCAGCCTATTTTTATGTTACGACTGTGTTTTTATTGAATGGATTAGTTGGATCTTTGCTGTTTATATTTGGGACAATTTTAAGGTATTTTATTTATGTTAATGAATTTTATTTACTCTTAAATATATTTATTGGAAAATGCACTTATTCAAAATATTATAAAGAATTATTTAAATGTCCATTGTTTAAATACTATTTTGAGCTGAATTTTATTAAACACGTATTTCGAGCCTCACGCAGAATGAAAATCTCCCTGGCTCAATATAAAGCTTCCTGTTGAAGCATTTAATCTACTGCCCGGGGCTCGAAAAACCGCCCGTCCTCGGCGGTCAAAAATTCCCCGCAGACAACAAATTTCTCGAATCCAACGTCTGCGCGGACGGCCACTTTCCCGTTAATGTTCGTGATGTATTTTTAATTTTTGTTATCTTACAAGAGCTATCTAGCTCCTCACTTCTAAAATGACCCTCTAATCTCGAAATACAGCAACATACTGCGCATGGAGGAATTGATGTTTTCTCTGTCTGGGAGTACTGCAGCGGTTGAAAGGGGCTTTTCAGCAATGAACTTACAAAAAAACACATTACGTACTGGTCTTAAACAAGAAGCGTCAACCGAAATTATGAACATCTACCTAAATGAAAAACTTCTTTCAGATTTCTGTGCAGATAAATCTGTAAATCATTGGCTTGATTGTGGAACTGGCAAACGTCGTAGTTGATTCATTTAAAAAACGCAGTACCATCGGATAAATTGACATGATAATTGACAGATAACTTGACCTTTGTTATTTAAAGTATTTCATTAAAGAAATAAATTATTTCATTAAAGAAATACTAGGTTTTACTATTAGTAACCTAGTATTTCTTTTATTACTGTATAATGTTATCCTAGTATTTGTAATCCTAGTAACTACTAATTCATNTTGTACATGTTCTCTTGCATTTTCTTAGAGAATTTGATATAAATATTATAGTTTTCTGAAATTTTTAAGCAATATTTTTTTCAATTATAGGTGTTGGAGATCCAGCCTATTTTTATGTTACGACTGTGTTTTTATTGAATGGATTAGTTGGATCTTTGCTGTTTATATTTGGGACAATTTTAAGGTATTTTATTTATGTTAATGAATTTTATTTACTCTTAAATATATTTATTGGAAAATGCACTTATTCAAAATATTATAAAGAATTATTTAAATGTCCATTGTTTTAAATACTATTTTGAGCTGAATTTTATTAAACATGTATTTCGAGCCACACGCAGAATAAAAATCTCCCTGGCTCAATATAAAGCTTCCTGTTGAAGCATTTAATCTACTGCCCAGGGCTCGAAATTCCCCGCGGACAACAAATTTCTCGAATCCAAGGTCTGCGCGGACGGCCACTTTCCCGTTAATGTTCGTGATATATTTTTAATTTTTGTTATCTTACAAGAGTTATCTAGCTCCTCACTTCTAAAATGACCCTCTAATCTCGAAATACTGCACATGGTGGAATTGATGTTTTCTCTGTCTGGGAGTACTGCAGCGGTTGAAAGGGGCTTTTCAGCAATGAACTTACAAAAAAACACATTACGTACTGGTCTTAAACAAGAAGCGTCAACCGAAATTATTAACATCTACCTAAATGAAAAACTTCTTTCAGATTTCTGTGCAGATACCTCTGTAAATCATTGGCTTGATTGTGGAACTGGCAAACGTCGTAGTTGATTCATTTAAAAAACGCAGTACCATTGGATAAATTGACATGATAATTGACAGATAACTTGACCTTTGTTATTTAAAATATTTCATTAAAGAAATAAATTATTTCATTAAAGAAATACTATGTTTTACTATTAGTAACCTAGTATTTCTTTTATTGCCTTATAATGTTATCCTAGTATTTGTAACCCTAGTAACTACTAATTCATTGTGCAATTTATATAATTGTTAGTAATAAATAAGAGAAAATTATATTTTTATTTATTTAGATGCAACGGGTTAGTTTCAAAGGAGGACGGGTACATTGTTGGACAAGCCGTCCTCGGGGATGGGTAAAATTTCTGAGTTTTTTGAGCCCTGCTACTGCCTTTATTTTACTTGATGATAAAGCTTCCGTAATAACCTTAAATAGGCAAATTGGATAGAGTCATCTGACTTATGAAGTAGGGGAGGAAAAAAGCATCCCCACTTCATTTGAGGACCTTTCGATGTGTTGTTCCTAAAATTTCAGATTTCAAATGTTCAAAATAATTCTTATTTTTACTGATTTTTATCTGAAAAACATACATTTATCTATGCTAAAAATTGCTACTTTAAATTAAACCTTTTAAAATATTTAATTGTGAGAAAGCAATATTATGAAAATATTTTTATTCTTTTAAAACGGTTTTGTGTATGCTAATAAAAATGATAATTATTAGGATTCTAATCAATACATTACATTCTTTACATGTGCCAAGATATATTTCAATAAAAACATTTATTTTTGTTTTATTTAACTGTATTTATTAATTAAAAGAACGATTATAATTTTGTGCAACTATTGTTTTTTTTTTTTTTTTAAATCCAATTCTCAAAGTTGTATTTTCTGTTATTAAAATCAATAAATATTTTTTTTCTTAAAGGTATTGAAAGGTTTATGAAATGAGAAATATTTTACTTAAATGTTAGAAATATTATTTTAGCACTTATTATTTATTAAATTTTTTTTTGCATTTTAGTAGATTAATTTAATAATATGATTTACAAAATGTTTGTATTAGTTGCAAATGCTTTCTGTTTTTCTTCTCTAAATGTAAAATTAAATTTTGGAATAATCCCTTGATGCTAGCAAATGAATGATTAAAATTTTAATGATATGAAACATAATTATTTATTTTAAAATCAACTAATAACGTGTGTTAATTGTAACTGCTAATTAAATATTCATTGGAAATTAAATATTGAAGTACTAATACATTTTATGTATGGCTATGCTGACAATGTAATATATTTGTTTCCCCTAACTATTTTATATAAAGATTAGAAACTCTTGAAAACTTAAAATATGATTTTAATTAAATCAATACCTTTACTTATCATGCTTTATAGATAATAGCAGAATCCTTTTTTTTTCTTTTTTTTTAAAAGAGCTATAAAAATTATTTTTAAATTATGATTCTTTAATATAAAACTTAATTTTCCTAGAAGTATATAACTTTAACAAATTAATATTAAAGTAACTCAATATTTTAATTTTTTATTAAATGTCTTAATTTTTTTAACCACAAAATTACTTTTTTTTTTTTAATTTTATTTAACCCTTAATGGTCTGAAAGTATTTCAAATTAGCTTCCCACTAGATAAAAATTATTAGTTATGATAATATTATAGTTGAATTAATTGTAACGGTGATTAAAATAGAAGTGATACAAATAATAAAGTGTTTTTTGCTGTGATAAAGTGACTTTTGACCCAGTTAGTAAGAGTGCCATGCCCGCTTATATGGCGGCTTTAGTCTGTTAAATATTCATTTAATTAAATATTAACTGAAAAATTGTATTTATTAATCATCATATATTTTGAAACAGTGATTCAGTATGTGGTGGAGCATTATCTGCTGCCTGCTTCTTTTTTAATCATGGAGAGGTAAATTAAAACAATTTTGGCTTCTTAAATCTAATCTTATTGTGATTTAGAGTTCTAATTCTGCTTTTATTTTTTATGTAGTGTACTAGAGTTCAGTGGACTCCTCCTCTGAGGGAGAGTTTTGGTTATCCTCTATTTTTGCTACAAATGATGCTAGTTAGTTTGCTGTTGAAGTAAGTAAATTTTGCATTGGAAATTTAATTTCAACTTCATGGTGGATTTTTTGACATTCAGCCAGTTTTATACAATGTGTACTAAATCATGTTATGTGTTTTGTTTTTATTTACAAAAAAGATTTTTATGCAGTATAGTAGAGTTCAGTTGACTCCTTCTTTCAGGGAAAATTTTAGTTACTTTCTATTTTTGCTAAAAGTGATGCTAATTACTGTGCTGTAAAAGTGAGTAAGTTTTAAATTGAAAGTCTAATTCCAACTTCATGGTTATTTCAACTTGACATTCAGCTCACTTCTCACAATGTGTGGTAAATCATGCTATATATATTATTTTTATTTATTAAAAGGATTTTTACCTAGGCAGTACATTTTCTTCTTTAGTAAACTACATGTTATAAGATTTTATTCATCTCGTTTGAAAGAAAAAAATCTTATCTAAATCAGTTTATAACTTTCTTAGATGTTTGTGCTAAAAAAAATTTTTTTCTCATGAATTTTTATTGTTTTCCTCAAATGAATTTAAGGTGTAAAAAGCATTCTTCTAATGGCACATTGTGGACTAAGAGATGTTAATAGAGTTCAAGGCTCCACTTTGCCAATGGTGTGTGACGAATCATTGTGACCAATGATATGATTCTGCCAATGGGATTGTAATAATTGTGTGATGTTATATAATAAATCCTACTTGAGCTTGCCCTGAAGCATATTTTGTGAATAAGAATTAAGTTTTACTGGAAAAAAAATTCCTATATGCAAATGTTATTTGCTTCACATTGAAACCACGAAATTTCTATTATTCCACCAAACTTATTTTTCAAATGTCATGTAACTACATCTTTTTTGAATTTGAAATCTGATTTTTTTTTCCCCAAAGAAGCCTGATATATATCTTTGTTTATATTGAATTTTTTTTTCATTTTTCAAGCCTCAAATTTCTTGTAAGTCATTTTTTTAAAAATATTTTTTCTTTTATAATTTTTAAAGAATATTATATAAAATGCAGGTGAAAAATTATGGGAAAAATATACTTGAGGGTGCCCCTTGGCGACGTATGTTTGGCGCCATACTTGTTTTGCCCAGAACGCTGTGGTAACCCACAAACAGGACATTTATATCTATTACTAATTAAACCTTCATCCATACACCAGTCAATCACTGTTTTTTTTTTCATTGTTATTAAAATCTTACAGAAACTTAAGATTTATCTTATTGACAGTATTCATTTTTAGTACCAGAAGCAAAAATAACCTTACCAGCCGGTATCCAAAGTAGAACTAACGGATCTCTGAAATTACATTTAAAAATTCATTTAAAAACTACGCTAAATTCTAAACTAATTAGAATCACGATTAAAATCTAAACCAATCAGAATCACGATTGGTTTTCAACATCAGCCAGCTTGGCGATCAATCGCGATCACAACTTGGCGGGGGCACCCTCAAGTGTAGTCTACCCAAAATTATATATGTTAGCTTTGTAAGTGATATTCATGACGAAGCTATTATTTATATCATTTTTTTTGTGATTGAAGAATAAATTATGTACCTTATATTTAACACTGAACAGTCAAAAAATTATTTAATACTATTCCTGTTTTTAAATATGATTTCTAATTATTTTATAGGTGCCAAAAACCTGTCTTTCAACATTCACTCATCATTGCCATTCCTTCAATTTTATTTATGTTATCTTGGCAGGTAATTTTTTTTTATCTATAGTTTCCTAATTAAAGTATTTTCTCAAAAATATAAAAGTTATATTTTCATAAATGTTAATATATAATTTTTGAAAATCAATTTATATGGTATCTCTGTATTTTTTTCAGTTTGCACAGTTTGCTTTGTTAACTCAAGTTTTAGTTTTATTTGGATTATATCTACTCAATTTTATAACATCTGATGTTTTCAAGTCTATTTTAAATGGGCATTTAGTAAGTGTATATCAATATTTTATTCCATCTTATATTTACTATCACAATATATTATTCTTATGTATTTTAAATTTACTGTTACAATGCATTTGTATGAAAGGAGTGAATATATTTCTTTGTCAGTATATGTGAAAATGTTGTATTTTTAAAAAATGCATAGTTTGAGACTATGAATTTAGGTAAAATATTTTTTGTTACATAATGTATGTTCACAAACAATGATATTTCACTTATTTATTCACTTGGACTTTCTAGGGTTTTGCTTTTGATTAGTTTTATAAAAATGCTTAAATGTGGGACTAATTGTTTTTCTAATTATATACTACTTCTATTCAATGGGTCTTAAATCGTCTTTAATAATGTCCAAGGTTGTTAGCAAAGTCTATTGAGGAGTTGTGGTGAAGCCACGAAATGTGTTTTCGAAATACTAAAATTACAATTTAGCTGAAAAGTGTGAGCTCTATTTTGATTTAACTTATTCCAGAATTGTGTGCATGAATTATCTTGTCCGATATTCTTCATAATTATTCGTGACATTTATGAAAAGAAAATGTGTTTTTATTTCAATTTTTCTTACTATGCGCAAAACACAACTTGATACTATGGAAAGTTTATAAAATAATAATAAGAACGCTGCAAGTCCAGGGCCTGCGCTAAGCATTTGCCACTTCGCCAAATGCGATAAAATCGTAAATTTTGCAAATAAAATTCTGTGTTTTGACGAATTATTTTTTCTACTGGAAATAAAAATATATAAATAAAAATTGCTAAAATTTGCATTTGCCGAATACTTTTGATATTTGGACACTTTTAACTTATTACATAATTTTATTTTTCCTTTAATTTTTGCTTATTAGTTATTTTTATTTTCAGCTTAATCTTATTGTTGCAGTTGTATTTTTGTTTGGAAATAAAATGCTTATAGCCTCCTTTTATGCATCAACGCTTTTAATGTGTTATGTAAGTATTCTGCACTTCTTTATTTAACTATATCCTATTTCTTTGCATTTTTAATTTAAAACTATTTAATTCATAGGTGATAGTTACGAAAGAAAACTTTTTCAAGTTATTTAACCACAGACTTTTGGTGATGGTAGGTTATATTTTTTTATTAATATTCTCTTTTATTTGTGAATAATTGATAAATGTATATCTAAAACAGTTTTCCTCCTGTTAAGTTTTCTGCTTGTTATTTATTTATCATGCTAAAATATTGCTTCCATTTAAATAATTTCAAATGACTGTTAATTATCTAAAACATTGCTTGAAATTATATTGATGAATAATGTTCTTTAATCGTAAAAACAGAAATTTTTATAATTATAAATAAAAACCATTAGTTATTTGCTATGGAAATTGAATGATATAAAATTTATTTTATCATTTCTATTTATTTAAGACTACCATCTTCCAATGCAAAACATAAATAAAGTTAACTTTTTTTTCTCCATTCAAAATAAAAAGGTTTTAATTTGCTATCACAACTTAAAAACTATTTCTAAAAAGACATTTACTGCCAATAACACTTGTAATATTACATTTTATCCAAAAGCATTACCTAAAAATTAATTAACGATAAATATTTCAAAAAAATTACCAATTAAGTTTTTTCCGCAAAAGAATGTAGATGGTGCGTAGCTTTTTTAAAATGTGCTTATTTTCGATTTTCATTTTTTAAAAGCACTTAATGGTGCTTTTTTTTACTGATTATTTTTAAAAAGCGCTTCAATTTCTCTTTTCGAAAATGAGATTTTTTTTATTTTTGTCATGTCTTATGCAAAAGAGCGATCTTCTCATTGTTCTATATAATGTTTTCACAATACTTTTTGGCATATCGCCGCTCCATAGTGTATGAAATCGGCAATAATTTTAAATGTTTGTTGAAATAGTTGGTTCCGCAATAGTTGTTGAATAGTTGTGGTTTCGCATGTGCATATACTTAGCTGGGTTAGGTGAAATTCTTGCACCCTCCTGTGCAACTCTGCTGCATTTTGCAAGATATTCATAATTTCAGTCTTCATTTCCACCCTCTGAAATCGAATTGAAAAATCTTTTCTTTTTTTTTTTGTTTTTTTTTTGGCTAATATAATCAAGAGACGCCCGGTGCCTGAGTGGTAGCGCTTCACGCTCCTGTGCCACAGGTCCTGGGTTCGATCCTCGGGTCGGGAAAGGTTGACTCAGGCTTTCATCCCTTCAGTGGGTCGATAAATGAGTACCAAGCATGCGTGGGAACTAAACACTGGGGGTTACGCATTCGGCTGACCACCTAACCGGAACATCTGCTCTTGCACTCCAGAGCCCANCTATGCGCAAAACACAACTTGATACTATGGAAAGTTTATAAAATAATAATAAGAAAGCTGCAAGTCCAGGGCCTGCGCTAAGCATTTGCCACTTCGCCAAATGCGATAAAATCGTAAATTTTGCAAATAAAATTCTGTGTTTTGACGAATTATTTTTTCTACTGGAAATAAAAATTGTTAAGATTTGCATTTGCCGAATACTTTTGATATTTGGACACTTTTAACTTATTACATAATTTTATTTTTCCTTTAATTTTTGCTTATTAGTTATTTTTATTTTCAGCTTAATCTTATTGTTGCAGTTGTATTTTTGTTTGGAAATAAAATGCTTATAGCCTCCTTTTATGCATCAACGCTTTTAATGTGTTATGTAAGTATTCTGCACTTCTTTATTTAACTATATCCTATTTCTTTGCATTTTTAATTTAAAACTATTTAATTCATAGGTGATAGTTATGAAAGAAAACTTTTTCAAGTTATTTAACCACAGACTTTTGGTGATGGTAGGTTATATTTTTTTTATTAATATTATTTTTTATTTATGAATAACTAATAAATGTATATCTAAAACAGTTTTCATCCAGTTAAGCTTTTTGCTTGTTATTTATTTATCATGCTAAAATATTGCTTCCATTTAAACTTTTAAATGGCTGTTTATTATCTAAAACATTGCATGAAATTATATTATGTTCTTTAATTTTAAAAACATGAATTTTTATAATTATAAACAAAAAGCATTTGTTATTTGAATGATATAAAATTTATTTTACCATTTCTAATTATTTAAGACTGTTATCTTCCAATGTAAAACATAAATAAATTTTGCATTTCTTTTCCCTGCTCAAAAGAGAAAAGTTTTAATTTGCTATCAGAACTTAAAAACTTTTTCTGAAAAAACATTTACTGCCAATAAAGCTTTTGTTGTATTACATTTTATCCAAAAGCGTTAACTAAAAATTAACTAATAATAAAATTAGAAATATTTCTGAAAACTTACCATTTAAATTTTTTCCACAAAGGAATGTACATGGTGCATATCTTTTTTAAAAAGTACTTATTTTCGATTTTCATTTTTTAAAAGCCCTTAATGGTGCTTTTTTTACTGATTATTTCTAAAAAGGGCTTAAACTTCTCTTTTCAAAAATGAGATTTTTTTTCAATTTTCGTCACGTCTTATGCAAAAGCGCAATCTTCTCATCATTCAATATAATGTTTTCACAATGCTTTTTGGCATACTGCCGGTCCGTAGTATATGAAATCGGCAGTACTTTTAATGTTTGATTAAATAGTTGTGTGTCTGCATGTGCATATACTTAGCTGGGTTAGGTGAAATTCTTGCACTCTCCTGTGCAATTCTGCTGCATTTTGCAAGATATTCATAATTTCAGTCTTCATTTTCCACCCTCTGAAATCGAATCGAAATATCTTTCCATCTTTTTATGGTGGCTAATATAATCAAGAAAAGTGCTCTTTGTCAGAAACTGGTTATTTTAACATGATCATGTAAAGTCTTTGAAAATTATTTTGCATTTTGTTAATGTATATGGTGCTTAAAAATATTTTTAAATGTATTTATTCATACAATATTTTTAAATGTATTTATCACACAAAAATATTTTTAACAGTATTTATTCTAATACTTAAAAGGTACTTATTTTTTGTTGAAAGATTTGGCTACACACCCTGATGTATTTTTTTTTCATTTATAAATGAATACTTTCTAGTTTTTAGAAAATTAAAAATATAACAAATACTATTATAAATTTTACCATACTTCTGATGCAAGTATTTGAATTTTACATGCTAGAAGACCTCTAAATTTGTATGACAGTAAAAGTACCTGAGCTGAATTGACCATAATTATTTACCTACTTACTTAATTTTGAACAAAATACTTGACCATATTTTTACTTCACATTTGGTAATTTTAAAATGCATTATTGTTTAAAGTAATAATCTCGTTTTGTCATTATTTATCACCTATATATATGGTATTAAATGTTTCGTGTTATGTGAACTTATTATTTTATTTCATCTATTATTTCTGCACTTAAAATTTTTTGCTTTAAAAAATGTAATTTACTCTGTAAATCTGAAGGATAGTTACAGTATTTATTCTTGTAAACTTTTTTTAAGAATCATAGGTTAAAATTATTACCTTTACATCAATATAAATTAAAAACTTTACTGTGCTAAATTTATTTGATACCAAGAAAATAGAATAAAATTAAAATAATTCTTTTCCTTTTAAAACTACTGCAGTTCTTTTTTTAAAAAAACATATTTCCATAATTTTATAACATTAATTATTCTTAAAAAAAAATTTATTTTTTAACTTAGTCAAGTACAAAAATGTGAGATAATTTAAAAAAAAAAAAATAATCATGGATACACAAATATTCTTAAATTATTGAATTAAGAAATTTCAGTCAAAATAAGGCAGAAACTATGACTATTAGATTTAATTTTTAAATTCAAATTCTATTTTCTTTGTTGTCTGGATCTGTTTTTTTTTTAATAAATGTGTTCGATACAAATATAGTGATAATTTTTGTAAATTTATTATAGTCAATTTGTATTGAATGTTTTGTATTCTTAGTGGATTATGTTTTGTTTACGCATGACTTATCTTATTTCAGTATTAAAAAAAAGGGTATAAAATATGATTATTTAAAAGGTCTGAAATAGCTTATTTGCATCTAACACATAAAAAGCTTACTTGAACTATACTAAAATCTACTTTATGATAAACTACTTTACTTAACTACTCTTTACTTTTTTAATAACTTTATCTGATTGTATAATGTAGTTGAAAGTTTTTATAATTAATTAATAATTGTGTTAAATTATGCTATGCAGTATAAAAGTATTTTTGATGAACAGGAAATTTTATTTGAATAATATATTAACAAAATAATAATTAAATTAATAATATTTTTTGCTTTTTTTAATTTCTAGATTTCGCAAGGAATTTCTTTGATGCTAGGATGTGTTCTTATCAAACTGCTTCTATCAACATTGTTGCAAGTCAAAGATGATGTAATGTTTAAATCTAGTCTAAAACTACTCGATTATTGAACTCAAATTATTTGATTTTCTCTTTTTAAAAGAGTTTGAATTTCTTTCCTTTGTTCGTTTAACTCATAAAAAAAACTTTATTATTTATTGTCTTCCCTTTGTTCTTTTATCTTATAAGAAACTGTATTATTTATTATATTACTTTTTTAGTTTTTTAATCAAATATTAATTTCATTTATATTTAATACTTAAGTTTTTTGTGAAATTATTGACCAAACTGTGTTCAGAGATGTCAACAGCAGAAATTTTTTTATCTAATTTCTACAGATTATAGTTCTTATTCCAGAATAAGCGTCATTCAATTATTACCTAAACACCCAATTGATTATTTTTTCCCACAAAGGAGAAGTCCAAAATTGCAAAAAACATACCTATGTGACATTTGAAAGCCACATAATGGAAGTTTTTGAAAGCTGCAAAGGAGTCAAATTTCCTTATTTTCAGTTTTTTTTTATTTCCTAGAATATTTCATAAATTTTTAAAGTATCCTTTATTTTTCTAATATTTTTGCAACTTGCAAATAAGCCCTACCTTTTTTTTCATTTGAAAATGTACATTTTAACTTAATATTTTATATAACTTTGAATGTTATTAAGTATACTTCAATTTTTATTGAAACTTATTTCATTCTTTGTTAAAGAAAATCAATAACTTGTGTTCCATTTGAAATTTTAATATATTGGAGTAGAAGAATATTTTATTTATAGAAGAATATTCTGATAGTCTTTGAAAAGTTATTGAAGGCTGCAATAAATTTATTTTTATTGTTAGTTATCAAAAATGTAAACATTTCTCAGTTTATTAACAACAATGTTACTTAGTCTTCAAAGTAAATGACAAAGTACAACAAATTAAATATATTTACAAGTGCTTTTATTCTTCTTATTTTTTTTACACATAAATAAATCAGACATTAATTTAAATTATAGCAAGTTTTTTAATTTTTTTATATGCAAAAATAATTTTATATTTTACTATATATACTAGCATATTTTATTTCTAAATAAATCTTGAAACTGCATTTAGAGTGGAAAAAAAAGACTTATTTAAAAGATTCTCATAAAGGAAAAGAAAAAAAATTAAATATTTTAGAATTACAGTGTTTGAATTTTGATATTCTTTTAAAATATTATTGAAATTAGTTTGAAGAACATTTAAAAATTTTCTTATGCAATTTATGTAGTTTTATTTGGCTACATGTTGGAAGAATACACTTTAACTCTGGACATAGACTACAGGTTATTCGCCCCATCTCTAATTCTTGGTATATTTTGATCTAGAAATTTTCTATTGACAGAACTCTAAATATCTGTTACATCGCTCTTTAGTATGTGAATGATTTTTTATAATGCATTAGTGAAGCAGAATGGAGAACCTTGCATGATGCATACCCTATTCCATTCAATTGTTTCTCGTGATATGAAATAAATGCCTGTAATTAGAATTAACATTCTTCTAGTAATAATACTATAAACATCTGCCATTTCTAGATTCTCCTTCTATATAAATACATGTTTTATTTTGTGTCTGTTAATCAGAATATTGTGAGTCAAAATTACTCGGGACATATAAAAAGTTTGGATCAAGCGTGTATTTTTTACCCATGTAAGGATGAATATGACATGCCCCGGTTGAGTATGTAAATATTCAATCAGAAATTCCATAAGATATTGTTAACTGCTACCCTAAGTTTTGGCAAAGCGAATTCAGAGATCAACAAGATGTCAGGTAGCATAAAAAAGCACTAAAAAAGATGAAAAATATAAAAAAATTTATTTTTTAAGACCTTAATATTATTGGGCAAAAAAAATTTGTTAACATAAATATTAATGTGTGAGTTCGAGAAGTTATATAATAAGTATAATACTCCAATTGCCATAAGAAAATAATAACTTTGAAAGCTTATATTGTCACTCTAAAATAAAATTTTTAAGGATCTGCACTTGCCAGTTGTGAATAATTTTGATTTTATTTATTATCCCTGGATCAACAACCCATTGTGGATTAAGACCTTCTTCATGAAAACTCTCCAGGCATCTCTTCATGACACACGGTTCTCCAATTTTTTACACGTAGGGTAACGAAGTCATTTTTATCTCATCAACCCGTCGAAGTCTGGTTCATCCTCTCTCTCAGATTGCAAATGGTTTAGCCATAAACCATTTGCAATTCTGTTTCATTCATTTGAATAACATCTGCATTCCGGTTAAATAAACTTAAATTGGGGTGAGTTATATATGGTTCTTTGTGAATTTTATATAATTTGGACTTGAAACGTCTTTTTGCCACACATTAATGTATATTCCCTAAATATGCTCCTCCCCCAAAGATCTTACTTTCAAATGTACCAGACTAGTCATATTTTCTACTTTCTCAGTTAAAAGTTCATACTTAAACTGTACACGTTAAAATAAAATGGCTGTGGAACTTGTATAAGAATTTTCGTCTTTCTTAATACCACCTGAGATTTCCAAATTCTCTAACACCATAAAAAGCCTTTTTTGCTGCCATGATATTGCTTCTTTGTTAATAATAATGCTTTGCATTTTCTCTATCAATGCTTTCTTATTAATAATACTTAAAATTAAAGTGTTTATATAGATATAATATTGTTAGTGCAACTTTTTTCTGAGTGATAAACAATAATAACATTCACATCTTTGCATTGAAAAAGATGTCTGGACATGTAAAAGTATCATTTGGGTACATAGATTAACACATCCAGTTGAGCATATACTATTTCTGCATTAGATTGGGCATTGAACCCTGCAGATTAGTAGATTGTAAATGTATCCTCAAAATCTATGAAAATCAATTTGTAATGATCCTACAAGGGATTAGTATCTGAAAAAAATAAATTGTATATGCGCTAGTACTTAATGCATAAGTAATAAATAAAAAAAGCAAAAAATTTAAAGTACATGTAGAGAAAACTGAAAATTCAAATCAACATATATTTCTCTCTAAGGTACTTAATATTACTTCCAGAGTGAATTTACCATCAATACTCTAAATAAAAATAAAATACTTTTTTGAACCTGAAGGAAGGCCAGGTATAGTTTGACAAATTTTCATAAATATTTCTTACATAGAAAGCAACGAAATCAAAAGGTACATAACACTAATCACCAGGGTGACATACTTTCAATAAAATGAAGAAGTTTGTGAATTTGGGGCACATAAAATTTGTTTTAAGTTAAAAAGATAAAATTTTGAAAAGTGCGATTTCTTTTCACATTTTCGTTGCAAATACTTTTTGTCTATTAAAAAGTAATTAAAATACAATTAATAGGTAAATGGTGGGTATAAATTGGTACTTAACACTTTTATTACTAGTAAATAAAAGTATTACCATGATAAATGATGCAATTTGATATTTTTAGGCTCATATTTGGAATCTTTTAAAATCAAAGTTTACTTCTTATGAAGATTTCCATACTATGCTCTACACCTGTGCAGTGGAATTTGATTTTTTGCCTTTAGAAGTATGTTTTCAATTACATTTGGTTTATTTGTCATCATAAATCTATGTTTATAATTCTAAGTTACATTTTTATTTTCAGTCTTTTGTTGAACTTACCAAGACACTAGTTTTGCCTTTTACAGTAATCATAGTAATTATTGTTCTTTATCAAGTGAGTATTTCAATATGCATATAATTAAAGTTGTCACAATATTCTTTTATTAAGAATAATTTTTGTTTTCTTTGTAACAGTCTAAGACATAAAATTGTTTTAATTTCTGTTAAGTAAGACTATTTTATCTAATATTGCCTTGATTTTTTGTTACCTTAATTCATTAAGACAGTACGTTATAAAAATGGATTTCATAGAATATTATTTACATACAGTTAGTGAATATTATTTACATATCGTTTTTTTATCATAATTTTTGTTCTGATTATTTTCTTCTAGGTTTTGTTGAAAAACACGGACAACACCGATAACTATGAAAATGCTGAAGTGAGTGAGAAATTTGTAAATTGATTGAAAGTTTAGTAATTTTGAATGTTTGAAAAGAAAATTGAAAAATACCATGTTAATTATGCTGACAATATTATTTGAACCATGAAAATCAAAGAATATCTGGAGCATTCCCTAATTATCAATCTTCTATGTATGCATTTAGATTCCTAACCAAAAATGTATGCATATCAGAGATTTCAAATTAATATTTAAGCAACAAAAAAGCTAAAATACTCTTGAAACTTGGCAAGTAATTAATGAAAATGAAAGTTTAAAATTATAAAAACGTGTTTGATTGACTGACAAAATTGAAAGGTAATTATTAGAAACATCTTCTAATTAATTCTAGCAATCAAACTTATTTTTATTTTTTGTAATCCTCAATAGTTATTGGCGATATTTTGATACCGTTCTTGTTTTATTTCTGACTTAAATATTAATTTTTGACACTAAATGTGATTTTTTTTAAATTTTACGTCTATCACACGGGAGGTCAAGGGACAAACGCGATTTTGATCCCTTGTACCAATTACAGGTTGGGGGCGTTTTCCACTCCTCTGAGATTTTTGATTTTTTCAGAGAGTATAACTCCGAAAAAGTAAGTGTGGAAGAGGGAGTTGTTGTAATCCTGCAACCCTCCTTAGCAAAAGAATATCGGCCATTTCATTCCCGTGGAGATTCACATGGGAAGGTACCCATTGCAAATGAACATCATGATTAAGTGAAATGAGCTTTAATTTAAGCAGGATAGAGGTGCTATTAGTTTTAGGGATCATTTTATTTTAACAAATACATCGGAAGTTTTGAGGTGTGTTTAGGCTTATGATGAAGACTCATAAAAGATTATTTATTAAGTCTTAAGTAAATTTCTAATATCATTAATTAAACCGGGAAAGGTATAGCTCATGCATGATTGAACTAAGCAGCTGCTAAAGCACAAAACAGTGTCCTAGTGGGAAAAAGAGATTCAAGATCTTTGTTCCTTTAATACTGATGAAAACTAAAATTAATTTGCGTGGATGTCTCTTATCACTTACCTGATCTTCAAGGAGCTTGCAAGGTCCATTATGCCAGAACCATGGAAGGTCCATGCAAGAGCCATTATTGCATAAGATAACGATAACTCTTCATCATGAATTTTAGCACTGATGATGGTACTTTGTTGCCAAAATAGCCATAATTCTCAAACTTGTTTAATTGTGCTTATCATTTTCTTCACTACGTTATTTTTTAGTTATTTTACATTAATTTGAAAAGAATAGGCTCCTTTTGCTTTAAGAATTTACAATTATATTCATAATTTAAATGTTTATTTAAATTTAGTACCATCATTAAAAAAATTTTTTTAAATAATATTATGTATATATATTTTTTATTTGAATTAAATTTTAGGTCATGTACAACATACTGCAGTCTTTTGCTTTTTTTGTAATGGCTGCTCTTGTAATGCGGTTGAAATTATTTTTTTCACCTCACTTGTGTCTTCTAGCCTCATTGTCAATGTCTGGAAAGGTAAATATTTTCTGTATAATATGTTTTAGAAAAGCATTTAAAAAAAGAACTTTATTGAAAAGCATTAAAATGTCTCATATGTAATTTTTTTAATGAATGGAAACAGTTTTAGGTCTGTATTGATATATTATATATAAAAATTAAAAGATATATAGATTGCTAAAATTTTACAGAATATATTCAGAAATTTCTTTAACAATCTATATGCTGACTACTTTGTTTAATTCTAAAAAAATATTATGAACTTAAAAAAATATCAACTTTTAAAAATATAATTATTATTATTATTATGCATAATTTAATGTGAATAACTCATTGGTTTACAAAGAAAAATTTTCTTTTAGGTTTGTTAAGTTTACAAAAGCTTCTCCTTTCAAAATTTTTTTTTTTATTTTGGAAGTAAAAAATAAGCACTTAAAAAGTAGCAAAATTTTATTTGTTTTGTAAACAAATTAACACATGGCAATATACTATTTTGTTGGTCTAGAATTTTCCCTTTTTATTTCTGTATTTTCTAAGCAAATTTGGTCTACATTGAATAATCAAGATGAATGATTGTTTTTTATTTCTTTAAATTCCAACTGCAAAATCAGAAATTATTTGCAATTTTAAATTTTTTTCTTTAAACCAAATACCTCAATTTTTATTCATTTATTTATTTTTAAGAATATTAAAGAAATATGATAGTTAACATATAAAAGTATTGATCCAGTCATGGAGAAAGCTACCCAAGTTTGAAGTAAAGAAGATTTTATTTGTTGTGTAAACAATTTGTTTTTAAATTAAAATGTTAATATCAGTTCGATTGTTTCATGTTGCTTATTTAAATAACAGATCATCAATTATTTAAAACATTCCAATAAATATTACAGGATGGTACATAAGTGCAAAATGTAAAGAAATCATGGTGTATTTAAATGAAATAAAATTTTAAAGAAGTACATAAGTGCAAAATGTAAAGAAAATATTTTGTAAGGAGATAAATATACACAAAATTTGTACACAATTTTTTCTAACAAGAATTTTTTATTGCTGTTTAGTAATTATTACCTTTGGCTAAATAGTTCTAATTCATAAAAGTGTCATGATATTTATGTTAGAGATTTTTCTTTTAGACTCGATACTATGGTCTAAACAAAATAAACTTGTTTCTAAGTTTTTCAGATATTTAGATGCCAAAGAAGTAAGATTTTACATTTTATTCGGAATTCTGGGTGCAATGAGCGTACAAGGTGTAACAAATATCAAACATCAAAGAAATATCATTGGTGAATTCAGCAATCCTGATTTAGAAGAGCTTATATCCTGGGTGAATACAACTCTTCCTGAAGGTATTTATTGATCATTGTTAATTTCAAAGTGAATGAGTTGTTTAACATGCGCTTTCTCCATATATTCCGCCTGTTGATAACTTAAATTCCAGTTTAAATTAATTAATTGGGATTTGTGGTTAAATGTGTAGTCGAACTAAACATTAAGATTTAAATAAAAAATATATAATTCTATTGTAAAAAAAAAAAAATTCTAATACTCCTATAATTATTTGTGCATTTATATATAAAAAGATTAAGGAGAACACTGTATATATATATATATATCCCATATATTTGTGAAGAATTGTTGTTCCATATCTAAGGCCCACTTGAGTAATAATGAATACTTGTAACAAATATTGATTTCCTAGTAGATTAAGTCTTGAAAACAATTTGGCTTGCCTTGTACAATAATATTATAGTAAAATCCTAATTAAAGTAAAGTATTATATTTCCCAGGTTTTCATCAAACCTCATTTCATTAGGAGGTTTAAATAATATGCTGAATTGAATAACAAAATTTAGTAATATCAGTTACTTTTTTTTTATTTCAACAGATTATAATTCTAATTCCAGAATGTTTGTTGTTGTTATAAATAATGCTTTATATCATTCTAGTTTGTGTTTGTTTTTGTAAGTGAAACATATTTTAATTTCAAAAAATATCATAGATGCTGTATTTGCTGGCCCAATGCCTACAATGGCTAATATTTTGTTATCCACCAGAAGACCAATTGTTAATCATCCTCACTATGAAAATTCTAAATTAAGGTAATTTTCTTTATATATATTGTTGCTTTGTTTACCAGATTATTTATTGAGTTTAATTAACCTAAATTGCCCTTTAGTCATACTAAACATACTAGTCAGGGCTTGAAGTTAACAACGGTCTGTCTGTATGAGACCATTAAAGTTTGACTTGAGTAAGCATAAAATAATTAAGCTATTTTGTTTAATTTTCAGTTTCATGTTTTTGTCCATGTTTGTTTTTGTCAGAATATAGCACATTTCTCCATAATTATTACATTAGATTTTTTTTGTGTTGTAAATTTTCCTTTCAATTCACTTAATTAACTTTTCTTTTCAAAAATAATCAAACCGAGACATATAAACCTAGTAATATCTATTAGTCACTGGTCTTTCAGATCAGTGACCATATGATTTCAATTCCTGCTTGTTATTAGGTGAGAATTTATATAGAAAAAATTAAATAATTACTCACTCAGTTTAGTATATAAAAATTAATGTGATATAGTTCATGTGCATTGCTACCATTTGCAGGGCCTCCTTTGCTGTTTGTATGCAAAAATAGTTGTTTTTATTCCCCAAGGTCAAAAATAGTAGTCTGAATAGTAACCTCAGTAATAAATATTAGTAGCCTAAATAAATGGTATAAATAAAAGTAGCATATTTGGTAAAAAAAAAAATCTGATAAAAGTAGAAATAATGTGAATTTTGTGAGTTTCATTTTTAGGCGGGATTAGCGGGTACACTGCACACTTCGGTATGTCCCATGGATAAACAAAAATATTTCTCATAATTCAAATTAGTTTTTCAAATTCTTTCATTTTTAATATGCAATGCCATTAGGACACAAAAAATTTTAAATTTGAGTTTGGCAAAAAATTAATTAAAATAGTAAATTTTATTATAAAATTAGTAGTCCGTTTTCTAAAAATAGTCACTTTTTAGCTTTATCTCTATTTTAGTAGCAAACAGTCACATTTTAGTCTTCATCGAAGGCTGATAGCATTCTGAAGGCATTTGTGATATAATTGCTGCTCAAAGAAAAAAAGAACCCTCATTTTTCAATGGAGATTTAGATTACCATTAGTACGACAATTTGATCATCAAGTTTTTGTATTTTCATTCATAGATGTCTCGGTAAGTGTAAAATGAACATCAACTGAAAAGAAGATCCCTGCAAATATATGTCATGTTGAAAGAAAAAAAATAAAGAGTTAGATATTTTGGAAAAAAAACCTTTATATAGTGACATCAAATTTAGCCTCATTTCTTAGGAGTCAATCCAGCCTTAAGGGAAGACGAAAAGTTAGAGAGTACAATTTTAAATTTGAAAAAAAACAACGTATCTAATGCTTAACTCAGTCTCATTCCCTAGTAGTCATTCCAGTCTTATGGGGTGGAACAAAAAAAATTAGAAAATACTATTTTAAACAAAAACAAAAAAAGCCAATCTAACAATGCCAAATTCAGCCCAATTCCTTAGGAGTCATTCAGCAAAAGTCAGCTTAGGAGTCCTGGGGCCAAAAAATTAGAGAACACAATTTTAAACATTGTAGAAAAAATATCCTCAAAGTCTCTTATTTCTGAGTTATTCCTGGAAAACAAAAATAGGAAAAATATTTTTTATGACAAAAATATTCAAAGACTTCAATTTCTATGTTTGAAAGATATTTCATATGACTGTGACAACTAAAATACTATATTATGGGTACATTTTTCAACACTTTTGTATTATCTAAATGCTGTGACTATTCTTATGAAAAGTGTTTAATTTTTCAGAGAAAGAACCAAGAATGTTTATCAGATTTTCAGCAGGAAACCTATCAAAAAAGTGTATGATACGCTACTGAGCATGAAAGTTAAATATGTTATTTTAGAGAGAAGCTGGTGCTTCGGGAGACGAAGGTACCTAATTTCTAGTTATTTAATTTTTATTTAATATTATGAAATAATGTGGTGGATACTGGAAAAATCTGGGAATTTAAAAATGCCACTGAAAAACATGTACAATTTTAGTTTGGGTGTATTTCAATCCCTTTACGAGATTAGATCCTCTCGAGATATCCCATTTGATTATCCCCAGCCTCAAATCTTTAGATCTCACCTATGCAACCTTTTTTTTTTTTTTTTAAATGTAATTAGAGTGGTGATATCATTTCTGTGTCAATTTAGTAAATAATTCTAGATAATGCTTGATTTTCACCACTTTCTATTAAAAATGTATTTTTTAAACTTAAATTAAATTTCTTAACATAAGATAAGAAACAATTTTGAAACCAATTTATATCAATCTTGATTATTATGCAGATATTATGATTTGTTTTATTTACTTACATTTATGTACAGTAGAACGCCGATTATCCGAACGTCCAATTATCCGAACTATGTCTGCATTCGTTTTTTCTTCCCTTTTTTTAGGTTTAGAATGCTTTTTAACTTATCGACAATTTTTCTAAATTTAGAAGAATAAATAATATCCACTACATTTGATGACCATATTTAATTTACAACGTTTTTTAACAGTTTTCTTATAGTAGTCATACATACATGTATTGTTATACAGTTAAACCTACATGCTCCAAGTTCCCTACTGTTCCAAGAATGCGAACTTCATTTTAACAGTCTAGAACAGTGTTTCCCAGAGTGTGGTACGCGTACCCCCGGGGGTACGGGAACAGTTTAGCGGGGGTACGCGTTCTTATGCGAAATATCTTGCGAGAAACAAAAATTTCAAATTTTTTTTATTTAAAAACAAAACTAGCCATGAAAATTTACGATTACGTATTTTTATACTCGCTATTTTTTGCAGAGTTAACAGTTAATAATTAGTGTGTCAACAGCCAGTTGTAATTTTTAACTTTAGTGCAATTTTTTTATAGTAAAAAATACATTGATTTTTTTTATTAGTGGTACACAGCGTTACGAAAAATTTAGAAAGGATACACAAAAGTTATAAGTTTGGGAAACACTGGTCTAGAACATCAAAATGATGTTGATCCAGTTCAGTTGATTATTTAAAAAGAATAAGGGGCATGGCTGCTCTAAAAAGAGCATCTTCTTTGAAACAAAAGTCTTTGCTGGATTTCTTTTGCAATGGAAAATAAAGAAAAATGTGGTAAAATCAGTAATTGACAAAAAAATTATAAAAAGCTGAAATATGATTAAAAAAATTCAAGATGAAAAAAAAAAGTTTAAAAAAATTTATCAATAAAAAATATTTTAAAAAAATTACTTTTAAACACGCCAGAGCTATTTTAGATAGTATTGCCAGTCCTAAGCCTGGAATAAGTATGAAGGGAAGTTAGTGCATAAATAATAATACTAGATTTTAAACAACTTTCCAATTATCCGAACAACATTCAGTCCCGAGCAGTTCGGATAATCGGCGCTCTACTGTATTTAAATATTTATTTGCGTTATTTTGTTTAATATCATGAAAAAGTTTGTTACTAAATAATAGTAAAAAAATTTATGTATTTACCATGAATTTATAACACATACAAATATATTTAAAAAAAAAAATTGAATTAAACCGTGCTAGTTTAAATCTAAAATTTACTCTGATAATTCCAGATAATTTGTTTTTATCCAGAGAGTGGCTTATATTCAGAGAGTGTAAAATGAAATTTTAAAAATTAATTGAACATATTAGAATCGAGATTTTTATTTGAATTTATTTATTTTAGGGAAGGCTGTGCAATGGTGGATTTATGGGACATAGAAGATCCAGAAAATAAAGACAAAGAAAATCTCTGTCAACGGATTGTTAAGAATCCATATCCCTTTAGAAAAGTTTTCAGAAATGCTATGTACACAGTTTTAGAAATTTAAATAAGACTTCAGGCAAATAAATATAAATAAACTAACATCAGGAGAAGCCATTTTAGCATATCTCTTTAAAATGTTTTTTACAGTCTTGCATTTAGATTAAACTAAGAGAAAGAAAATAGAATAGTTCTAAGTGAAAGATCTAGTTGTTAGGAAGTGTATTCTTATCATATGGCTATATCTTGTCTTAAATGCATTTTTTATATTAAATTTTAAAAATCATGACAAATATTATAGCTTATGCAATTTTAACCAGTTTTTGTTTTTAACAATCCATTTAAACTCATTTTTAAAATATTAATGAAGTTTTTTTATAATAATTTCACCTAATTTAAATAAATTTTCAACTACAAATTAAATGAAAATTCAAACATATAATTCGAAAGTAATCTATCATGCCTGCTTTAATTACTTTCCTAAGTTGATTAGAATTGAAAAAATTATTAGCTAATTCAATATTGTAATCAAGCTACGTAACTTATATGGGAAACCATGTAACCTAATCATTAAAACTCTCAGCATGATAGTCACTATGTTAATCAAAATAATAACTTATTTTAAATTATATTTTTTCCATTCTGAATTCTTTCAAATTTGGAAATGTGTTTTGTGCTTAAAAACAACACATTTCTAAAGAATAGTGTACTATATTCATTGTTCATTATCATATGAATTTTAATCATAATGTTCAAAAGTTGTGGCATATAATTAGCTCATTTAACTTAGTTTAACTTAATAACTAAAAGAGAACAGGGGGGTTTATTACACTAATATCTCTATTTTCTCCCTTTTTAAATTTCCTAATTTTTGTTTCAGTTATATACTTAAAACTTTATGAGAAAAATTTGCTCTGTTAATTCAACTTAAATATAAAAGAGGAAGATGACTACTCGAAATATTGTTTTTATTTAATTAAACTATAAAAAAGAGGCCTTCCCAACATTAAGTCCTTGTTTTTTCTACTCAACGTTTTCAGCTTTTGAATTTTTGTTTTAATAATTTATTTTTAAAAAAAAATTATTGTAAGTAACTTAACTTTTTTAATTCAACTTGATGACTGCAGAAAACCACTAAAATTATTTATAACAGTAAAACTCTCCTGGAAAAGCAAAATTCTGTTACTTTTTTGTGATTACTTAAAACACCCTAATTATAAATTAGCTCTAGTGTATATAAACTAATACATCAGATTAGTGCCAACTGCTGAAATACTTTAATCAAAATTGGAAAAAACATTGTAAAAAATTTTCTTCTAAATAATTATTAATACTTTTAAATGTTTTATTATTGGAGCAAGCCAAATTATGTGAGCTTGTTTATTGCTTGTGCCATATTTTTACAATAGCTAAATAAATTATACAATAATTTCAAAATTGTAACGATACACATTATTATCTTGTTAGATTAAGTATTATCTAATTAAGTCTATAATTCTAAGACTAATTCAATTCTTAGTTTAAGGTAAGGCCTAGTTGCTGACTTTCAAAATTAACATCATTTTCACTTGTTTTTTAGTACCTTTGCAGAGAAGGATACACAATTGTCAAACAAGCGCAACAATTAAATTATGAAAGTTTTCTATAGAATATTATTTACTTTTCATTTTAGTAACATTTATGTGTTTGCCTCTTTAAGCCTTTTATTTTATGTTCAATTGTTTTTCGTTACGTAACTTAATTTTATTTATATTTATCTGTTTTTTAAAAATGTCATAAAATTAAAAATCTGGATAATAAATTAGTTCAGATTTTAATTTGATTGTCATTCTATCATTTATCAGTTTATTTAGTTTGCTTTGTCAATAAAAGCACTGTTTATTGTATTTATTTTTTAATGGTTTATGCAATTTGTATAGGTCAAGTGGAACAAATTTTAGATTCCATTATTTAAAATTTGAATTAAATTTAGGATACAGGCACCTATAATTTTTAAACTAAGATCTGTAAAGCTTCCAAGCTTTAATCTAAAAACTACTGTAGTAAGGAAAACCTAATGTAATACCATTGCAGTGAGTAAAATATGCTACTAATAAAAGACAAACCTCGAGCCAAGACTGGCTTTATTGCTATTCAATGGCACGTTCTATAATTTTTTTAAAGAAAGATTAGGTTTATTTCTTACTTACAAAAACAAACTGAAAATTAAATATCCAGATGCTTAAAATTAAAATAATCACGAATAAAATTAAACAAATAATAAATTTAGATTTAATAAATGACGCTGACAATTGAGAATTATATTCCAACACTCCCTCCAATTTTTACTTGTCAAGAAAGTAAAACAATTTTTAAAAAATTATAATCTAGCAAAACAAGTTTTTCAAATCTGTCTCTAGGTAAAGCCTTAGTGGAACATATCAGCGAAGTATTCATTACTGTTGATATATGCAATTTTCAGTTTTATTCTGACAAAGTGGAACTTGATGTCGATGTGTTTATGATAAACAAGATGTTTGTTATTAATTTTCATGCACTTTGATTCAGGGTTTAAGCTGAGTCTAAAAATTCATTAGCAAAAAAGCTAAAATCTGAAAAAAAGTTTTAGCAAAATGCTAAAATGCCATTAGGCTTATAAAATTACTTTATATCAAACAAGTACTGTAAGTTATCTGACAAAGAATAGCTTAATGTACAAGAATATCAAAAAGAATACCTATAACAAAAAAAAACACATTTATTATTTATCAAAACATTTTGGTTTATACATTTTGGTTTTCGTGAACGCTAGCGTCATGGTTCTTCTTGCGAAAGATATTTAGATTTTTTCTCCTTCTTGTTTGATCAAGTTTTTTTCATGGATGTTAGCGTCATGGTTTTTAGCGGAAGCTTTTTTTTTAATGGAATTTAGTAAAATCCTTTAGCATAAATGCGAAAATGTTTTGTTGAATTTTAGCATTTTTGAGGGGTCTTTTCGCATTTTGCGAAAAAAGCTACCGTAGCGGAAACCCTGCTTTGATTATCAATATTCACAGAAACACCATCTGTATCATACATTGATGATTCACTTATGTCACCATATAATCCCTTTAACAGCTGTGGATGCTGTTACGTATTCTGATTCTGTGATTGATGTTGATACAGAAGATTGCCAACTGGTACACCATGTGATCACACCACTTGATAACATATCCAGTAGTATATTGTTTGGTATCCATGTCTCCTGAAAAATCAGCATTAGAGTAACCTACAAGATGAGGATTTTCTGATTCTGCTATATACTATGATGTGGGGTAGCTTTTAAATATTTCATGATTCTTTTTACAGCATTCCAATGCACTTGACTATAGATATTTTTAAACCTACTAACAAGATTTATAATCTATATAATATCAGGATGTGTGGAAGTTGAAAGAAATAATACTGATCCAATAACTTCACGATACAGTACACAATTTGCTTCTGAAATCATATTAGGCTCAGATTATAGATTGACATTGGAATCTGTTGGAAAACTAACTGGATTGCAATCCTCAAGGTTGAACTGCTTCAAAATTTTCTTAATATTGGCTTGTGAGTGAATAAAAATTGAACCAAAGATTTCTCCATCTTTACATTGTAAGAGAATATCATCAACATACAGTATAAGAAAAACTTTTCTACTGTGGAAAACACCATGAAATAAACAAGGATCAGCTACACTCTGCTTAAATCCAAAGTTTAACAAGAATTCAAAAAATTTCTTGTTCCAACATCTTGATGATTGTTTCAAACCATATAGAGATTTTCTTAACTTAAATACTAAGTGTGCATCAAACATGGAGGAAGTAGCTAGTATACTTCTTCACTAATGTCACCATGCAAAAATACTGTCTTTATATAACACTGCAATATGTTTAACCTTTTCTGTGCAGCAGTTGTTAGAATAACTCTTATGTCATATCTTGATGTTAGAGAAAATGTTTCTTTGGAATCAACTCCATCTACTTGTGAAAACCCTTTGGCACACAGCCAAGCCTTGAAACATTCAATATCTCCATTGGGTAAATACTTAATGTTGAATACCCATTTTGATTCAGTTATATTTTTCTCTTCTGGACATTCCACTAATTGCCAAGTGATATCAGTTCCTCCTTTATTGCATCTTTCCATTCCTTTGACTGATGTGAGTGCACTGACTGCTTCTTCATATGTTTTAGGGGTTTTAGTAAAGTTTACATCATAACGTTTAGAAATTCTTAAATTTTTCAGAGTCTCAAACTATAGGATGAAGCTTCTTTTTTATCTGAATTTTGTGATTCATTCAATACTTCATTTTCATTCATTACTGGATCAAGTTCAATTTCATAATCATCAATTTCATGGCATCATCTTGATATTTAAAGTAATCAGTCGAATGAATCTCTGAGCTCGAGTATTCAATAAATTTAACATTTCTTGAAACTTTTACAGTTTTTGATCTTGTATCACAGAGTCGATAATTTGTTAAATTACTTTCATATCCAACAAAAATTATTTTGATACCTTTTGGTGAAAGTTTCTTGTGCTATCGGTCAGGTACATGAAGATATGCCTCAAAGCCGAAAAAGTTTTGAGTGCTTTAATGACATTTGTTTACCAGTCTACAAAGCTGCAGATGCAGGAGTCTGACTAGTCGGTGCACGATTCATGATAATCATAGCTGTGTTAACTGTTTAAGCCCATAAAAAAAATGGTAATTTTTTACTATGTAACATTGATATAGCACTATCCATTATTGTTCTTATGTTTCTTTCAGCTCTTCCATTCTGCTCGAGAGAGTAAGGAACTGTGGTTTCAAGTTCAATGCCTTTTTCTTGAACGAAACCTTTAAAATTATGATTTATGTATTCCTTTCCATTATCTGTTCTCAGCGCTTTATATTTGTAGATTGTTTATTTTCACACAGGGAAACAAAAATCTTGAAACCCATCTAATGCATCACACTTATGTTTCAAAAGCACAACAGAAACCTGTCCATTAAAATCATCTTAAAAAATTATAAAACTATTTGCAACATCTACTAATGTTGTTGATGTTGGACCACACAAATCACTGTAGATTAACTCACCTGGTTTGCTAGCTTTATATTTTCTATGACTAAAGGATAGTCTATGTTGTTTGCTATGTTGACAACCCTCACAATGAAATTTATCAGATTCTGAAAATTTTATTTTGTCAATAATTCCCATTTCACTTAGTGCTTTGAGATTGATGGTGTCTGTTCTCTCATGCCATAATTTAAAGTTGTCAACGGAGGCTGCATTAGCTTCATTGGGCAGTACTGTTTTAAATAGCATCTGATACAAGTTGTTTGCAGAACATACTGCTGTGCCAACTTACTCCCCTTCACAATTGTAGATATCAGCTTTATATTTTGTTTGTCAACATTGGCCTGCAGAGAAACAATTAAGAACAGCATTAAAAAGACACTTGAGGATCTACTGGACCCAAATCAAAGTGACTAACTTTTCAATCAACTGCTGATGTGTTTTCCGCTGTGCTTTTTATCTTTTTCTATTTAATTTTATCTATTTTATATTCCTGATGATTTTAGCTATTATATTGTTCTTTTAGCAAATTTTTTGTTTATATAATGTGTGATTTTAACCTCTACTTATTTTAACTACCCTTTTACTTTTAAATCTTAATCNCTGTGCTCCGCGCGCTTGGCAGACACCAAGACGCTAGGCCCGGTTAGAAACGGTGGCGTTAAAAACCACGTGAGAGAGCTCGGGAGCAAAACAGAAAGACCGAGAAAGATCCGCGGGAGTTTCATAAAAAGGGCCGGGGGCAGTATTAGACAAATTCAAGGACCTATCAAGTTTTTCAAGGACCTAAGACGTTTTTCAAGCACTTTCAAGGACCTAAATTTAGCAAAAAAAAATTCAAGGACTCTCAAGGACCGTGGGAACCCTGTTAATATTTATCTTTAAATTTTCTCTTTTATCCTCCTTATGACAGTTTACTTTTTATTAAATTTTGACATTTTTTGACTATATCACTTTTTTTACACCTTTTCTGTGATTTTATCAGCAGGCTTTTCCTGTTTTCCTTTTTTAAGCCTTTTAATATTTTTACTATATCATATTTTAATTTATCAAACTGATTTTAATTCTCGTGTCTCCTATTTTACTCGATGTATGGATTTTAAGCTTAATGGTGTGGATTTTGCATTACTGATTCTGGCTGTCTCCAGTTTTGATTTCAACAAAGATTTTATGTATGTTTTTATTGTGATAAATGAAGGCAATTTTATCTCTTGCAAATTTATACGCACCACCGTAAAAGATGTAAAATTGTTTTTTTCTTTCTTGATTTTTGTCAAATGCATGTTGCATTATACTTGTTGCTAAGTGAAAAAATATTTTAATGGAATAATGCCACAATGGGCCTTGCCGGGCCCCTTGACTGGTGCCGGGTATGGAACTGCTTCTCCTCTCCTGAGGAAGAGGTCTGTCACAGTGACAAGTCTCCTTTTTCTCAAATACCCTTTTTTTGGGAAGGGGAGTTACAGATTTCTTATCTTTTTTTATTAACTTTATTCCATTGCATGCAGTCACACCTTCAGAGAGAAGTTTTTTTTTATACCTGGAACATAAAATACGTCATGTATCTCTTCTTGCCACTCTCTATGAATCAGCTTTTGGCTTTTTATATTCCCTCTTCCTTTAATTGGTAATTTTACATTGTTGCCAAGATTAATAACTTCATTCCCTTTCAGTTCCAGGAAACTTTCACAATAATTCCTACTAAAGGTCATAAGAGCAGACGCACCACTCTCCAGAATTCACTATTCTTCATTTCTTAGAACCGTTTTTCCTTCACCAACTTCACTGTGATTTGATGCACTTTTGTTTTTTTCTGGAACACGTGTTTCACGAGGTTTAAAACGACATTCTTGGGCAACATAGCCTTTTTTTCGACATGAGTAGTTATTTTAGATTTGTCCATGCTCCTGACTTGATTTTTAACATAGTTTTTATTTCTTTGATGTATATTTTCTTTATTTAAATTTTGGACGATTCATTGGAAGCAATAAAAACTGAGTCTGTTAGTTCAGGTTGCAACTGAGGGGTTTCTTCATCCATCAATCTTACAGTCAGATTTGATAAATTCTGTTAGTAATCATCAACAGATAATAAGACTTGTCTAAAATTTATATATTTTGATGGTAATATTTCCAAAATTTTGGCAATTATAGTTGCGTCGTAATGCTTTCGCCAGAATCCTTGTTCAAGTGTGCAATATTTTCAATTTTAGCTATGTACTGGGTTGCAGTTTTATTACATTCCATTTTTATTTCGTGGAATTTATCAAACAACAGCATTTTAGTTTAAAAACAGAATCCAGCTTTTCAAACATTTCTTTTGACGATGAACAACTTTCAATTAGCGTAACTTGTGAAAGCTCTGTGGCTGATGAAATAGAAAATATTTCCTACTTTTCTATTTCCGTTTCGTCAGTTTCTGGCCTGATTTTCTTGTCATTAACAACTGAAAAAATACCTTAAGAGCACAAGATATCTTTATATTGTATTTATATTAGCACAGTTCCCTTTATATTATAATGTCTTTAAGAGAAAATGGTAGGACAAATCATTTTCAATTCATCTCAAATTTTTAAAGCTTGGTTAAAACGTAACCTGGCTACATAACCTATTCAATAACACATTCTATTATCTTTCCAAAGAAAGATAATAGAATGTGCTAAGTGTGAAAGTTTATATTTTACTTGTTCATCCTTAATGCCTGACTCAATTTTCCTTTTCAAGGTAACAGATATTATACTTTTGCAACTTAAAGCTGGAATTACCCAGCTTTAAGTAATAAAACTATAAATTTAAGAGATGTTTCTTCCTTTATTTATATATGCATAAATTAGAAGGACTGACTAATAAACTACAGAAACCTTACTGAAAATGTGTGCGTTAATAAATTAAAAATTGCTGATTCCAAAAATGTTTAGAAAAATAAACACTTGTTCTAGCATCTGTTAAATATGAAGTTTTATCAAAACAGTTAAAATTTTCTCACTGGAAAATATCTGTCTATCGGGTATTTACATGAATGCTTTGGGCACAAATAGCTTAAATTATAATTAAAACAGTTTTAAGTTGAGCACTCCATAATGGTATTAAATGATAATTCCTTGCTATTGAAATTTTAGTTATGCTAAAGCTTTACAGAACTTTATTTGGCAGGTTTAAGTATCAGTGTATCAAATATCATATATATTGGGAACTGTAAAAGGGTTTACTGGTCTCTACTTATGTTATGCAATATGACCCATATACAGATTCTTGCTCAATTGCATTGTGAAAGTCCATTACAATGATCCAAGTTAGTCATTATAAAACATCAAAAAGCTTTCTACTTAAAAATATTATTTCTTTTAACTAACTGAATTTTCCCAGACTGTTTTTTCCTTCTTTTAAATATGTTACTCATGTATAATGCTGTATATGTTTGTAAAAAAAAATTTATAAATCTGAAAATCTACTTTTCATTTAAGTAAGATATTTGTGAAACACTTGAAGCACAATTTTGTTTCCTTTTTCTCTTTGACTTGTTCCTGCATTTAATATACCTGTTTTTAAACTATGCTTTTACAATGATTGTCAATCTCTTAAAAAAAATTTTATATGATGTTTTTTTAATATATTACCTCGAATAATTTCTATGTTCTTTTTGTATTTTCTCACCTGAAATCATTGTAATTGTAAATATTTCTTTTGATCATATTTTCATCAGATTATGATTGTAATATGAAGGAAAAAATCATTATAAGATATTAAATGTACTCAGTGGTCTATTTTATCATAACTGAACTTGATAAAATATGGTATACAGGTGTCTAAACTTGTAAAACTAGATCTTAAAAAATTTCATATCGAGAAATTAAAAATTCAAATAGCAAAAGAGGATGTAATTGAAATTTATTGCATAAATGCAGACTGTAATCAGAAAAAGACCAGTTTTAGACTGACCACCTTCAGCAGAAGAATCGTAATAACAGAAGCCAAGCTACCAGGTAACCAATTGATATGCAAGGGCAAATCTGAACCCACCTTCCAATCTAGAATCTCTCCATAAACCACTTCAGGCTTATTTTGATGGTTATCCTCTCAGTCTTGGCTGTCGTTTAATCTCATCTTCTAGCAAAAGACCATGATAAAAATTGGTAGTAGATTTAATTGATCAGTAACTGATTGTACTGACACACCTTAGCTAATAATTTTAAAATAAGTTTTAAATTTTTGAAGGTTAGTAGCAGTCAGCCTTAAGTTTATGAGCTCTGTGACAGTTAAAAATTTTAACCTTGGTTTACTTCTAAGTAATTACTGTTAAACTAGGGAAACATAAGATTTTTTTAAACAACTATTTTGCATTTCAAACCAAAACTACTCCTCTTTAAACTTTGTATTAAGTTTTGTTTGTAAGAATCGATTTCAGCATACCCATTTATAATGCTCGCTTAAGTAAAAATCAATTTCTTCAAGGAAGAGACACTATCTTGTAAAATGTGTATGAAAATTTTGACTTAAATCAAAATGATTCTATACTGTGTTGCAAATTAAGAAAAAACCATTATTCCCATGAAGAGAGTGTGTTTGGATCTAAGTGCATGCCAAGGTCCACAGCATATCCAAGGAATGCATATCAACATCGCCAATTCTTAGAACGAAATTCCACAGCCCCCCTTTCTATTGTTTTCTTATTAACGATAATCAATTAACAAGTAATAAAAATGTTACCTAAGTCATAACAAATATACATCTTTCTGTTAGCATTTTGAAAAAAACTGATGAAAGAATATAAAAGCTGATGAATAAAAATATTGTTTCTCACAGCCTATTTTCTTCTACAGCGAAACTAAAGTAAAAATTCTTCATCTTGCATTTGATTTGTTAAGATCATGTCAGCATGAGACACACCATTTTTGGGGGTCAAATCAAATTCAATGCTCCTGCAACTTCATGCAGTTGTTTCTATTTCAAGAACAAATGTCCTACTTATTTATCGAAATATGTCGCTAAGTCTAGGATACGAACAAAATTATAACCTTTTTGGAAAAATTCTATGATATATATCGTAAAATATAACACAAATTAAATTTCTATTAGAAGTGTTTAACTTTTAAAAGCTTTTATTGTTTCTAAAACATATTTTATAATTTGATAATGAAATAAAACAGAACTATATGCAGTTGCGGATGACTTCTTCAATCCTATATCGCAATGGTCTTTTCTTAACTTGCAACAGAATATATTTTCACTCAGCCATCTAGTAGTTAAAAAAAATATGAGGCTAATTCTTTGATAATTAAGTATGCAAGCCTAAAATCGAACTTGAAACTCCCATATCAATCAGAGACAATTTGGCCCTTTTTCTATTGCAATTTTAGCTTAGTTTGACTTTTCTGAACTAAATTTGACTGATCTATGCACCAGTCTACCAGATTTCATTAAAATAAAGAATGATAAATAGGGAATGGGGCTAAATAGAAAAGCAGACTTTATTAATAACTTTCATGTGAATTTAATTTCAACAGTTTGCTGCATTCTGTTTAGAAAAAGTTATTTATTCTTACCAAGTTTCAAAATTAGAAACAACTTTTTTTAACAACAGATGTCACTCTACTGACTAAGGAAAATTAAATACATTTTTAACAGAGACCATTCACAACAATACGAACATTCAGAAGTCTGAGCTTATATTTCGGATGAAATAGTTTGACTTCAGCAGTGCCATCTGTTGATGCACTTTGGAATTTTGTCAGAAAAAATGTATTGCTTTCCTAATTACAACACCTCCTTTTGTTTTCCTTTATTTCAAATTGATGGCCATTTATTTTCGGGGCATCCAATTTGTAGGTTTTTAAAAATAATTTGTTGTTTAAACTAATTTTTCAAAACTTTTTATGATTGATCCAAGTTTTGTACTTTTATTCTTTCATATCATTTTGATCTAATTTTCATTTACATAAAAACAATGTCGGGGTGAAGCTATTACGAAAACAAAATAAGAATGTTGAAAAGTAAACAGTTGAAGTGTGTGTATTCTTATAAGGTTATAAACAAATTACTGGCAACATAGGTATTACAAAATATACATTTTATAAAAAGATCCATAAAATATTCACACACATGTTATAAGAATAATGTAAAAGATTATTCTTCGCCATTAATAAAAATTTTTTTTGTTTGTTTGATTGGTTTTCTTCTGATTCAAAAACTTTTTGTTCTGTATTTTCACAATAAATTAATTAAAAAAAATAGATTTTTATGTAAAAATGTATTTAAAAAATAAAGTTTTATAGAAATTATATTTATAAATTTTCAAAAACTACACCAAAAATTAATATAATTTTAAAGAAGTTACAAAAATTGTATGTTTAATTTTTTTATAAAATAATAATAATAAAGAGTTTACAGTATTTCGTGAAATGAGCATCTTGCACATTTTCAAGATATTTGACAAAAAATTCAAGACTCTAACAATAGGAATTTTGTTTGTACCTTAGATAAATATTTTGTAATACTTATATTGCCACCACTTTATTTACAATTCTTAAGTGCATCAAATCTGAAAATATGTTTAATACATTTATCGTATTATTTTAATATTTCTATGCTTTTACAAAAAATGCCAAAGAAGTTAAATAAAAGTATTTCAATTCTAAATTGCAATTGAATTTCTTTTCAATTTAAACAATTGGAACAATTCACTGCAATGACAGTAAAATTTTACTGTCTTTTGAACTATACTCTTTACCATAATTCTCCATTATTATTGGTTAAAATATAAACAGATAGTATTATGGAGGTTAATTCTTTTTAAAAATTTGCAAAAGCATCTAAGTGTAAAAATTACTGTATTCTAAAATACAATATTGAAGGGAAATTATATGGAAACAAAAAATGCATAAACAAAAAGTTTTCAGAAATTTGCGAAAATATTAAAGTTTAAATAATTTTGGTTCTATAGTTGAAGATGAAAAAGATTTAGAAATTTTGGTTGATAAAAAGAAAAGCTAATTACAACTCAAGATATAGAATTTATGATTATGAATTATTTTTATAGATAGGACTGCTTTAAACTTTTCTGAAAATTTAACGACAGCAAGAGTAGCAAATTAAATGTTTTAGAAAAAATTGAAGAAAACCTTAATGATAATTGTTGAAAATGTTATAAAAATGGGCTGAACAGTTAATAGAGGTCTAGGTGTGACGAAATTGAAAGGTATGGTTTTCTAAAAAGTACAATTGGAGTTTGTACATTGCATGAACAATGTGGCCCATGACCTAGTAATAGTCACTATAGCTTAAAATGATGATTTTAAACTCTCCAAGAGCTATAATTCAGAAAGACATGTTAACATATATTATTTTAGACACAGTACTCTTTTAGAGAAAGCAAAATAGAAAAATCTTTCTGAAGAGCTCAGGTTTTATAACCCTTTTTTAAGTACAAATATAAAGTGTTATAATAAAGTATGTCTGATGCAAAAAAAAGTGGGAAAAGAACTAAAAAAAGAAACAAGAATAGAAAAAATCAATAGAGCACTTCAGTATAATAGATCTAATTTTTACTTAAAGAAGGTAAAGCTTCTGAAGAGAAGTTATATTTCGGAAAATTGCTAAAAATAGTTTCATATGGTACAACAGAGATGAAAGTGAAGAACTAGTATGAAAACAATGCATACTGGTTATAGCATCATAAATTTAATTTCCTTAAATAATAATAAATGATAATTTTTATTTTCATCTTTAGTTCTATATTTTAGCATTTATTTTAATATTAAATAACAGATTAAACTCAATTTTTAAAGAAAACTTATATAAGTTATTTTTACTTTAAAATATTGCAGCATAAATGGAGTTTAAAACACATGCTCTTAATTAGAAGTTATACAGTTAATAACTTTAAATTATTTTTATATCATTAAATCATATAAAGTTATGCAAAAAAGTTGTGTAAAGGGGCAAAAAAAATATTTATACAATAATTGGTAAAATAAAACATACAGAAAATGTAACGCAGTGAAAAAATTTTCATGCATAATAATTAATAACCAAATTAATTTAATCAATCAGATTTAAAGCCAATCTTATGATTTAAAAGTTAAATTTATAATAACATTACTGTAAAATGGAAAAACTTAATAAAAAAATATTCATGAGAATAAATTAAAATCATGATTTATTTACACATTTTTTACAGCATAACCACCTTAAGAGCTAAGATGGAGAGAGACCAAATTTTTCAATGGTGTTGATTACTAATATGAGGAAATCCATAAATGAACTCACAGCAGATCTTAGTTTTTTGGGATCATTAGCAGATATATTCCTACAAATGAGAAATATGAGTTAGAGAGAAAATATTAAGTGCGAAAAGAAAGTGCATATTCCACTGACTGTATAGGGAGACATTATTGTGATGAAGAATCATCTTAGAAACAAAGTGTTTTCTTGATCACCCTTCTTTAAATCCTTCACCCCCCCCCTTGCATTCCACTGATTAAGAGCCACAAAGTTCCCAGGAATTCGATTCAAAAACATAAAGATTAGGAACTTATTTAATTCTTGAAATTTTTCTTACAGTTATTAAACATTCCTGTTTACTATTATAAATTAATAATATAAATATCTATATTTTAAATATTATCTATCTAAGTAGAAAAGCACTTTTACATCATTACAAAATGTTGCTATTTTGCAACAATAATAAAGAATGAATTGAGCGTGTTTCTACCTAACCCCTATTTTAATTATATTACATGGTCTCTTCTTACAGTGGCAGACTATAAGTTAAGAGTGGTGTCATGAAATATTTCATTTTGTTAATAAATTATGAAAAGAAAGGTATATAATTACACAACACATCAGAAACAAAAATTAGTCAGCTAAGTGATAGATTTATAAATTTTCAATAAGTAGAAAAGAAATTTTTTTTGAATATTTGCATTTCTTAATAGTTCATGTAATGAAGAATGAATTCATTTTATCTCAATTTTTCTGAAATTCAGCAGTCTTTCTAAACATTAATATTTTAACCATCAACAGGAGAAGGAAAAAAAAGTACATTTTTAAGATTAATGCACCTTAATAACTTTTTATTTAATGAACAGATTATTGCATCGACCTTAACTATGCAAATTGGTTTGTGGAGACAACACTTTCACTTAAAAATCAGATAGAAAAATGCACTTTCTCTAAATGAACATGTTTTTTTTATTTTTTTATACAGATTTGGATTTTTGACCTTCAATGTAGCCTAGCTGTAATCTGGAAAATTTGGTTTAATAATAAATATGATTACTATTACCTTTGTTACTACTACCTTTTGTATATTTTGTCATATTTCTGTAATTATTTAAAAATTATGTAAACATAATACAGTCGAACCCCGCTATAGTGAACCTGGGATATAGTGAACACTCGGATGTAGTGAACTTTTTTAGCGGTCCCGTCCGTATTCCTATTTAAATAATGTTATTTTTAACGCTTATAGTGAACAGCTTAGAACTTNTTAAACCATTCAAGTTTTTTAGTAGCCTGGTAGCGATCAGAAATTCTCTACCTTGATATAGAATAATAATTATTTCAAAGCACTTTTCTATTAATATTAATTTTTATTTTTAGTTGAAGATCAAGTAAGGTTTAAATTCATATATACATTTTATTTTTATAAAAGTTAAAACGAAAATAAATGTTCATTCATTAAATTTTTATGAATTAGGCATTAATTTTTAAAATTGCTACTATATATGCTTTAAACAAGTCTAAAAATAAGTTATTATTGAGGTTTAAAGTAACATTATTGAGTAACATAAATTATTTTATCTTAAATGTTTTAATTTAATAAATTTAGATTTCACTTTCAATTCAGCCTCTATTATTTCTTTTATTTTCTTATTCTTTTTTATTTATTTGGAGAACACCATTGATATTAAAAGAAAATCAAGCAAAGGGGGGATAAAGGAATAGAAGTTTCTCGAGAAAGAGGAAGTGAAACATTTTTATTTTACTATTAGAATAATGTTTATATCTGTATTAAGAAAGCGGTTGTGATGCAGTGTGAGAAATAAAATCTTTGTTGTGCTTTTTTCCATCAATTTTTGCTTTATTATCTGTTAATTAGTTAATAATTTTTTAAATAACTTATGCAAAATTGCAAAGCCAATTTTCAATCATTCAACTGTCTTATGCAAAAAATATTCTTCAAAAAATTTGGATATAGTGAACCATCGGTTATAGTGGACACATTACTGAGTCCGCAGACGGTTCACTATAGCGGAGTTCGACTGTAATAATGAAATTTGTTTATAATTCTACACACAATATTTTTATTTTATGAATATCATTCTACATAAAAAAGTTTTTTTCATACTTAAGTCTTATTTATTTTAGAAATAGTAAAAAAAATTTTTATTATAAGGCATGCATTTTTACATTGTTTTAAAGTATGTTATTTTAAATGTCAAAATTGACTTATAGTTTCTGGCAATGAAACATAAAAAAAGTCACATTTCTAAATTTGTATTTCTTAATTAACATTAAGGGATCCGAACTTCGACCTATTCTGCATAAACTATTGGAACCTTTTGTTGAAGGTCATGAATCCAGATCTATCAACAAAATGCATGTTTATTCAAAGAAAGTACATTTCTGCACCTGATTCAACTTAAAATATCATCTCAAATTAATTAAGACAATTAAGTTTAGCTCCAAAAAATATTAAAATTTCCAGTATAGTACTGAATAATCACTTGTTTATGTTAATTATATCTTACACCGTGCCATATCTAATATTATACACAATGATAAATTTATTTTAATTCATAAATTTTTTCTCATTAATATTTTTTTTCTTCTTCATTTTAATTACAAAGCTTCAAAAATGTCAGATTTTTATTTTACAAATAAAAATATCAACAAAACATATATACTTACACAATTAATAACTTATCTTGCACTTCTAGTTCTTTGATAACATTGCCTCGTAATGGTTCCTTGTCAATTCTCAAACTGTTGTAAGCTATTACTGCATCTTTATTTGTTGCAAATGGGATTTCCATATGACTATTAGCAGTTAAAGAATAATGCAATACTAAGTCTAAGAGAAAATTATATTAAACCTATAACATTTTTCAAAAGAGAAAAAAAATTAAATTGAAACTATTTAATATCATTAAAATGAATAGTAACAAATAGATTTTGAGCTTGTCGAAAATAAAAAAAAACTTTCACACAGAACTGATTCTACAACTACAGTTTTTGTTACGTATAACTCAATAAATTCAATATTAATTGAAAATGTTTACTTTGATTAAGATTGACATTATATTTATGAGAAACATCTCACAATTAGAAGATTATGATCATGGACCAGCATTATTAATCATGAAAATAATAATAGAAATCTTTAACATTAACTAAGATCAGAAATATCATATTTTCAAAGATATAAAATTTTTTAATATATATTCAATAGCAAATTGAATCTCATAATTAATTCATATTTTTAAGCATTAGTATGAACATTAGAACAAAAAGTCAATCTCACATATACTCATAAAATAATTAAACATCTCTTTTGCGTTTAACAAAATTTTGATCAAATAGAATGTTAGAAAGCATAAAAATTATTTTAAAATATTAAATATGTATTTGGTATTAATTAAAATGCAAAATATAAAGACAAACTCAATGTATAAAGTAAAAGAGCCACTACAATCTATGATAAAAATGTTAAAATGAATTTGGGGCATTTGACTAATGCAGCAAATTATTTATTTACAGATAAACTTTTTTTTCAAAAGAAAAATTAATGTATGTACACTTAGTCAAAAAATATAAAGATATCATGATATTTAAAATTAAAGTAAATATAAGTATTAAAGTTTTTTTTTCCAATGCCTATCTGGAGAATGACCTAACGTCAATACAGGCATCTGAAGGGCAGATTTGTAGGCCACTTTTTCAGGGGCACCATATTTAGTGGGCTAAGGTTGCTCCAACAATAAAGACAGATAGCAGAGAGAATGAAAGAACTTCCACGCCTTACCCTGGATTCGAACCCCGAACCTTTCTGATGCAAGACTAGTTTCCTGACCCATACACAAGTGGGTTGGCTCAAGTATTAAAGTAAATAATTAAAATAAAGTAAAATTTAAAAATAAAGTAAACATATTCGGGCAAGGTTTTTTTAAAAATATATATAGCTTTTTAAACATCTATTATAAGTCAAAATAAAAAACAATGAACTTAGTGCTTAAAAGTATACCTAAGCAATACTTAAAAGTATGATCGATTAATAAAAGGTAAGAATCAAAGATTTCCATCATAAACATAACTATGAAGATTGCTTTAAATTATGCCATTAACCTTAGGTATAATATCTAGAAAAAAAGACAATAGGTATCACCTACATTATTTCTCTAAATGCAATACAAATGACGCAAATATATGAGCATAACTATGTTAATACAATGACTTTCAAAACCTCCCCTAAATTAAAGATTTCATAAACATCATAGCAACAAAACTGTAATTTAAAACAAAATAAAATTTGTGAAACTAAACGAACTTACAATGAGATTTATTTATAAAAACATAAACGAACATTTTGAATATTTCAAATCACAAGCAGAATGTTGAAGCAACATTGCTCTCAACTGGGAATTTTAAAAACGGCAACAAAGAAAACTTTTTAATGTTACATAAATACTTCATAAAATAAGCAAGACATATGAAACAAAACTCTTCTTAACTGCGAATTAAGGGATGATTTCCGTATCGTGATCTACGCCAAAATTGGCGCCAAAATTTGGCGAGATCCCTACGAGTGCCTGCGGGGAGTTTTTTGAGGGGGCGTGGCCAAGAACGGCAAAAATGACGTTTTCACAAATCGTCTGGAGTGGGATGGGCTTCATGATGTAGGAGTTGTTTGAATTATGAAAGAAACAAACCTGATCCTTTCCCTTTGTTTGAACTGGAAACTAAGCAAATATAAAAACAAAGAGACTTAGTTTTAATTTAGGAAAAGAACAATCTTTTAAATGAGTATATTTCAAAAAAAAGTTTTTTAGTATTTCTTTTAAAGTTAATAAATTATTGATTAGCAAAATACGTTTAAAACAAAACCTTTATTCTAACTCATGCAACACTGTTCTGACAAAAAATTATTGTAATTAAACATTAAAGAAGTAATTATAATTTTTTAAATAAATTCTTGTTACATATTACTCTAAATTGGTGAAGTTTTTCTAAAAAAGGAAATAGATTTAAAAAACAAATCTCGAGTTAATTGAACTAATTAAGCACTTAATATTATTAATAAAAACGTAAACTAAGTATTTTCTTTTATAAAAATAAAGTTCAAACTTATTGTAAAATTACTTACCAGCTCTTTCAATGAAATTATCCTTAGATATATAAATAAATCACGGCTGTATTGAAGGAAAAGGAAAGACATAAATAAAAATGTCCGGGGGGGAGGAAGTAGGCATATTCTTGATTTTCAATTATCGGATTACAAATTTATTAAGTTGATTATAAATAATTTATAAAATACTTGGTGAATACAGTTTTTAAAAGCTTAATCTTTTGCTCGGCATTGACTTCATATTAAAAAATAATAACTATGCTTTAATTAAAATGCAGAAGGGTAATTTCTAAAAAATGAAATTAAAATTATTAGTACTGTCGAAGTTATAATTCGAAAATTGAAATAATAAAATTTATTTAAAAATGCCAAACGTTATAGCATAGGGAAAAATTACACGTGAACATGCCTATTCAACATTATAGCAAAACTGAATGACCGCTCTAAATTACCCGCCAATTGTCGAACAAGATGACGGTCGTTCACGTGTCTCCATATNAAAAATCAATTAAAGCAGCAACAAAAGAGATGAAAATTAACAGTTTGCTGCATTCTGTTTAGAAAAAGTTATTTATTCTTACCAAGTTTCAAAATTAGAAACAACTTTTTTTAACAACAGATGTCACTCTACTGACTAAGGAAAATTAAATACATTTTTAACAGTGACCATTCACAACAATACGAACATTCAGAAGTCTGAGCTTATATTTCAGATGAAATAGTTTGACTTCAGCAGTGCCATCTGTTGATACACTTTGGAATTTTGTCAGAAAAAATGTATTGCTTTCCTTATTACAACACCTCCTTTTGTTTTCCTTTAATTCAAATTGATGGCCATTTATTTTCGGGGCATCCAATTTGTAGGTTTTTAAAAATAATTTGTTGTTTAAACTAATTTTTCAAAACTTTTTATGATTGATCCAAGTTTTGTACTTTTATTCTTTCATATCATTTTGATCTAATTTTCATTTACATAAAAACAATGTCGGGGTGAAGCTATTACGAAAACAAAATAAGAATGTTGAAAAGTAAACAGTTGAAGTGTGTGTATTCTTATAAGGTTATAAACAAATTACTGGCAACATAGGTATTACAAAATATACATTTTATAAAAAGATCCATAAAATATTCACACACATGTTATAAGAATAATGTAAAAGATTATTCTTCGCCATTAATAAAAATTTTTTTTGTTTGTTTGATTGGTTTTCTTCTGATTCAAAAACTTTTTGTTCTGTATTTTCACAATAAATTAATTAAAAAAAATAGATTTTTATGTAAAAATGTATTTAAAAAATAAAGTTTTATAGAAATTATATTTATAAATTTTCAAAAACTACACCAAAAATTAATATAATTTTAAAGAAGTTACAAAAATTGTATGTTTAATTTTTTTATAAAATAATAATAATAAAGAGTTTACAGTATTTCGTGAAATGAGCATCTTGCACATTTTCAAGATATTTGACAAAAAATTCAAGACTCTAACAATAGGAATTTTGTTTGTACCTTAGATAAATATTTTGTAATACTTATATTGCCACCACTTTATTTACAATTCTTAAGTGCATCAAATCTGAAAATATGTTTAATACATTTATCGTATTATTTTAATATTTCTATGCTTTTACAAAAAATGCCAAAGAAGTTAAATAAAAGTATTTCAATTCTAAATTGCAATTGAATTTCTTTTCAATTTAAACAATTGGAACAATTCACTGCAATGACAGTAAAATTTTACTGTCTTTTGAACTATACTCTTTACCATAATTCTCCATTATTATTGGTTAAAATATAAACAGATAGTATTATGGAGGTTAATTCTTTTTAAAAATTTGCAAAAGCATCTAAGTGTAAAAATTACTGTATTCTAAAATACAATATTGAAGGGAAATTATATGGAAACAAAAAATGCATAAACAAAAAGTTTTCAGAAATTTGCGAAAATATTAAAGTTTAAATAATTTTGGTTCTATAGTTGAAGATGAAAAAGATTTAGAAATTTTGGTTGATAAAAAGAAAAGCTAATTACAACTCAAGATATAGAATTTATGATTATGAATTATTTTTATAGATAGGACTGCTTTAAACTTTTCTGAAAATTTAACGACAGCAAGAGTAGCAAATTAAATGTTTTAGAAAAAATTGAAGAAAACCTTAATGATAATTGTTGAAAATGTTATAAAAATGGGCTGAACAGTTAATAGAGGTCTAGGTGTGACGAAATTGAAAGGTATGGTTTTCTAAAAAGTACAATTGGAGTTTGTACATTGCATGAACAATGTGGCCCATGACCTAGTAATAGTCACTATAGCTTAAAATGATGATTTTAAACTCTCCAAGAGCTATAATTCAGAAAGACATGTTAACATATATTATTTTAGACACAGTACTCTTTTAGAGAAAGCAAAATAGAAAAATCTTTTTGAAGAGCTCAGGTTTTATAACCCTTTTTAAGTAAAAATATAAAGTGTTATAAAATATGTCTGATGCAAAAACAAGTTGGTAAAGAACTAAAAAAAAAGAAACAAAAAAAAATCAGTAGAGCACTTTAGTATAATAGATCTAATTTTTACTTAAAGAAGGTAAAGCTTCTGAAGAGAGGAAGTTATATTTTGGAAAATAGTTTAATATAGTACAATAGAGATAAAAGTGAAGAATTAGTATGAAAACAAGGCATACTGGTTATAGCATCATAAATTTAATTTCCTTTAATAATAATAATTGATAATTTTTTTTTTCATCTTTAGTTCTATATTTCAGCATTTATTTTAATATTAAATAACAGATTAAACTCAATTTTTAAAGAAAACTTATATAAGTTATTTTTACTTTAAAATATTGCAGCATAAATGGAGTTTAAAACACATGCTCTTAATTAGAAGTTATACAGTTAATAACTTTAAATTATTTTTATATCATTAAATCATATAAAGTTATGCAAAAAAGTTGTGTAAAGGGGCAAAAAAAATATTTATACAATAATTGGTAAAATAAAACATACAGAAAATGTAACGCAGTGAAAAAATTTTCATGCATAATAATTAATAACCAAATTAATTTAATCAATCAGATTTAAAGCCAATCTTATGATTTAAAAGTTAAATTTATAATAACATTACTGTAAAATGGAAAAACTTAATAAAAAAATATTCATGAGAATAAATTAAAATCATGATTTATTTACACATTTTTTACAGTATAACAACCTTAAGAGCTAAGAAGGAGAGAGGCCAAATTTTTCAATGGTGTTGATTACTAATATGAGGAAATCCATAAATGAGCTCACAGCAGATCTTAGTTTTTTGGGATCATTAGCAGATATATTCCTAAAAATGGGAAATATGAGTTAGAGAGAAAATATTAAGTGTAAAAAGAAAGTGCAGATTCCACTCACTGAATGAGGAAACATTATTGTGATGAAGAATCATCTTACAAAGTGTTTTTCTTGATCACCATCAGGGGTCTGTTTAGAAGAAATTTGGGTTCATTAAAGGACCATTCACAAAATATTTTAACTTAAAAACGGACCCTTCACAAAATGATTTTTCTTTTAATCGGACCCTTCAAAAATTTGATAATCTTCATTATTGTTTTGCTAATTGAATAAACCCTTCCCATGGCAGAAAACAAGAAAGATGGATGCGAACGAATTAAGTTTTGTCTTCGGCAGACGCTTCTTCCATTATTCGTCTGAAATGAATATTCTGCTTTCAGCAGTATAGGCTAAATACCAAATATTTGTCGTATCTCTAATTTAGAAGCATCAATTGCCCTTTATTTTTGAAAATTTAAATTTTTTAATTATAATTTTACAGTGCTCAGTATAATCTTGTATCTATTTACAATTTAAAAACCCCCTGAAAAAGTTTTTTGCAATAACCGGACCCTATTTGCACAAATTCATAAAAGCAAGACCCTGGTTGAAAGAATGTGAGTAATTTCACAAAAACCGGACCTTTCACAAAATGTCTGGACAGACCCCTGACCATAAGCTTCTTTAAAACTTTCCACGCTCTTTGGATTCCACTGATAAAAGGCCCAAGTTCCCAGGAAAAGAAAAAGATAAAGACTCGGAACTTAGCAAAAAGATAAAGGCTCGGAACTTATTTCATTCTTAAAATTTGTCTTACAGAAATTAGACATTCCTGTCTAGTTTCTGCAAGACAAATTTTAAACTAGACATTCTATTATAAATTAGAACATTAGAAACTAGACATTCTATTATACATTAATAATACAAATACTTATATTTAATATATCATCTATCTATATATAGAAGTACTTTTACATCATTACAAATTGATTGTTGTTGCATCTTGATCATTGTTGCTATTTTGCAACAATAATCAAGAAATGAACTATGAAATGAATCAAGAATTCTACTTAACCTCTATTTTAATTATATTACATGATCTCTTCTTACAGTGGGCAGACTATAAGTTAAGAGTGCTGTCATGAAATATTTCATCTTGTTAATAAATTTTGAAAAGAAAGGTATGTAGCGTATCTACCACTACAAAAATTGCAACTACAATTCACTAGTATATAAGACATGTTAACTCGACTCTATGCCGGGGTACCTTTTCATAGATGACGGTTGACATGGTCTAATACTCCTCTCCCCACATTGGTGACCTTCCGACATGATGTGAACACGCCTACCTAGGCAGCAACGCCCACTTTGATATGAACACGCCTACTTTGATGGATACCCACATTGAACAGTTGACTTGCTACTTGTGACTGGGACATTATCCACCTCCTCGCACTGTTGCTCTCAGTCTCGTCTCGTCTCGATCACGCACAACGTCGGCTTGCATTCTTGTGATTACTCGACTGCTAACGGCAATAGAGGAGCGACTACGACCGTGAAGTTAATACACCTCTCACATTCAGCACTCAAAAGAAATACGGTGATCATAGTACAGCTCTCCCGGCTTCTCACAAAACAGCAATGAATCAACTAGTGGTATTCGTTCATCGAATTCTATCACAGGTATAATTCTAGTGGGGGAGTACTGTAGCGTATCTACCACTACAAAAATTGCAACTACAATTCACTAGTATATAAGACATGTTAACTCGACTCTATGCCGGGGTACCTTTTCATAGATGACGGTTGACATGGTCTAATACTTCTCTCCCCACAGGTATATAGTTACACAACACATCAGAAACAAAAGTTAATCAGCTAAGCGATAGATTTATAAAATTTTCAATAAGTATGTTATGAAGAATGAATTTATTTTATTTTGATTTTACCAAAATTTGGCGGTCTTACTAAATATTAATGTTTTAACCATAAAGGGAAGAAGAAAAAAAGTTTATTTAGAGAAAGTACATTTTTAAGATCAGTGTACAAAATAAAAAATGGAACACCTTAATAACTTTTTATTTAATGAACAGACTATTGCAATGACCTTAACTATGCTAATTGGTTTGTGGAGACAACATTTTCACTTTAAAATCAGATAGAAAAACATACTTTCTTTTTTACATTTTTTTACAGATTTAGATTCTTGACCTTCAATGTAGCTTAGCTGTAATCTGGAAAATATGCTCTAATAACAAGTCTGAACCCCTCAGTGTTACTATTACTTTTGTATATTTATTGAAATTTCTGTAATTATTTGAAAAATATCTAAACACAATAATGAAATTTGTTTATAATTCTACGCAAAATATTTTTATTTTATGAATGTCATTTAATATTAAAAAAAAATTCATACTTATGTCTTATTTATTTTAGAAATTGTTTATTTATTTTTATTTTTATATCGTTTTAAAGGTCAAAATGCAAAATTGACTTCATAGTTTCTGGGCAATGAAATATCAAAAAAGTCATGTTTCTAAATTTGACTTTCTTAATTAACATTAAGGGATACAAGCTTCCAACTATTCTGCATTAACTATTGGAACTTTATGTTGAAGATCATGAATCCAGATTTATCAACAAAAAGTATGTTTATTCAAAGGAAGTACATTTCTGCACCTGATTCAACTAAAAATATCATCTAAAATTAATTGAGACAATAGCTCTAAAAAATATTAAAATTTTTAGTATAGTACTCAATAATCACTTGTTTATGTCAATTATATTATATTGGCTCTTACACCTTGTCATATCTAATATCATACACAATGCTACATTTGTTTTTTATAACATTTTTCTCTGTAAAAATTTTTTTTTATCATTTTAATTACAAAGCTTCAAAAATTTTACTTTCTTATTTTACAAATAAAAATATCAATAAAACATATATACTTACACAATTAATAACTTATCTTGCACTTCTAATTCTTTGATAACATTGCCTCGTAATGGTTCCTTGTCAATTCTCAAACTGTTGTAAGCTATTAGTGCATCTTTATTTGTTGCAAATGGGATTTCCATATGACTATTAGCAGTTAAGGAATAATGCAATCAAGTCTAAGAGCAAAATTTTATATTAAACCTATATCATTTTACAAAAAGAAAAATGAATAAATTTGAACTTATTAATTAAAATAAATAGTAACAAATTGATTTTGAACTTGTCAAATATAAAAAACAACAATCACACAGAACTGATTCTATCTCTACAGTTTTTTTATGCATAGCTCAATGAATTCAATATAAATTGAAAATGATTACTTTGATTAAGATTGGCATTTTATTTAAAAGAAACATCTCACAATTAGAAGATAATAATAAAAACAATCTCAATTAATGTGTTAAGGAGCAATTACAGTCTATGATAAAAATGTTAAAATGAATTTAAAGAAACATCTCACAATTAGAAGATAATAATAAAAACAATCTCAATTAATGTGTTAAGGAGCAATTACAGTCAATGATAAAAATGTTAAAATGAAATGGGGCATTTGACTAACACAGAAAATTATTTATTTTATAATTTCTTTATAATTAGAATTTTTTTTTTACAAAAGAAATTTTTTTTTATGTATAGGTACTTTGTCAAAAAATATAAATAAATCATGATATTTAAAATTAAAAATAAAGTAAAGTAAATATAAGTAATAAAGTAAATAATAAAATTACATAAAGTAAGATTTAAAATTAAAGTAAATATAAGTAATAAAGTAAATAGTAAAATTAAATAAAGTAAAATTTATAAGCATATTTAGGCAATGTTCTTTTTTTTTATATATCTATTTTTAAACGACTATTATAAGTCAAAATAAAAAGCAATGAACTTAGTGCTTAAAAGTATACCCAAGCAATACTTAAAAGTACGATCAATTAAGGAAAGGTAAGAATAAACGATTTCCTTCATAAACATAAATATGAAGATTTCTTTAAATTTTGCTATTAAACTTAGGTATAATATTTAGAAAAAAAGACAATAGGTATCACCTACATTATTTTTTTAAGGCAATACAAATGACGTAAATATACGTGCATAACTATATTATTACAATGACTTTCTAAACCTCCCTAAATTGAAGATTTTATAAACATCAGCGCCAAAAACTGCAATTCTAAACAAAGGCAAATTGGTGAAACAAAACGATTTTACACTGAGATTTATTTATAAAAACAGAAACGACATAGTTTGAATGCTTCAAATCACACACAGAATGTTGAAGCAACAAACACTACACTGCTCTCAACAGGGAATTTTAAAAGCGGCAACAAAGAAAACTTTTAAATGTAACATAAATACTTCATAAAATAAGCAGGACATATGAAACAAAACTCTTTTTAACTGCGAATCAATTTTAAAAACATCAACGATGAAAACTTTAATTTTTTTTCAGATCAAACACAGATTAGTGAATCAGAGTTTCTATTCAGCTTTTTATAAACAAAACAACAACCGAAGACAAGTTTACTTAAAAAGCCTAAATTAGAATAAATTCATGAAAATGAAAAAGGATACGAAATAACATTATTTGACTTCGATTTCTTGTCATTTGAATTTGTTGTCATATCGGCAGTTTGTTTTCTTTTTGCCATGTTGAAAGTGATTGTATGATTTTTGATTGATTGACTGATGCTCTTTTCCGGCTTCCTATTTCTGCTTTCTTTATTCCCCGATACCAAAACGTTAAAATTAATTTTCAAATTATGTACTTTCACTTCCATTTATTGTTTGTAAATAAAGAAATAAATGACATCTGCCGCTACTACTAGTTTGATGGATCAGTTAATATGTCTTTAAAATATCAGCTTATAATATTCTCTTATTAGTTTTATAAACTTGGAACTACTTATAAAAACGAATCATGATATTGCATCTATTTTACCTATATCCTTTTTACAATAATTTTTAAATTGTAATTTATGTCCAGATTAAAGCAATGATTCCTAAAACTGCCCTTATCTTTTGCACTATTATTTGTTATTTAGTGGGACTAGGAATTTATATGTCTGGTTTCATGCCTGAAGCAATTTATAAATCAAACTATAGCAATTCTACGGCAGACGATTCCTGTTTGGAATTATTACAAAACCAAGAATCTTGTAAAAAACTAAACTTATATCCTTATAAAAGACAGTATGAAAAAGTTGTTCTAATTGTTATTGATGCTCTTCGAGCAGATTTTGTGCCATCAATATTGAAATCTGATTTCAATACTAGTTTACCTTTTGTAGAAAGTATGCTCCAGAAAAATAATGCTATCGCTTTCATTAATAAAGTTTTTTCTCCTACTGTCACTCTTCCTAGATTAAAAACTCTTATGACTGGTAAAACTTCGAACTTTATAGATATCATCAACAATTTTAACGCCAAGGAGTTAAAAGAAGATACTTTTCTACACCAAGCCAAGAGTAGAGGACTGAAAGCAATTTTTTATGGAGATGAGACTTGGCTGAAAATTTATCCCAATTTTTTTATAAGAAGTGAAGGTACTCATTCATTTTTCGTACAGGATTTTGTAGAAGTTGACAATAACGTAACAAGGCATTTAAAAATAGAACTTTCTAGAAACGACTGGGACATAATGATTTTACATTACTTAGGAGTTGATCATATTGGGCATGCTTTTGGTCCTTATTCTTCTTATTTAAAACCTAAGTTAAAGGAAATGGATTCCATCGTTGAACTTATTTATCAAAGTTTAAAACAAATGTCCTCGCAAAATTCATTGATTGTTATTTGTGGAGATCACGGTATGACATTTGACGGAAATCATGGAGGTGTCACAAAAGGTGAAACACTTACACCTTTAATTTTCTTAAATACATTAAATTTTAAATTTGCCAATAAAAACAAAATGGTTTCACAAGTAGACATTGCTGTTACTTTGAGCATTCTTTTAGGTTTGCCTATTCCCAAAAGTAACAGTGGTACTTTAATAGTGGATGTGCTACAATTCAGTAACTTACAAAAGGCACAATTTTTAAATGCTATGTTTAGTAATGTAATGCAGTTATATAAATTAAATGAAAAGTCTCTATCCAACAACAATATTATGCTAAATATATCAAATGTTTTAGATCTTCATTTGTCATTTTTCGACACACATTTTCTAGGATCCTACAATCAAAGTTCATATTCTTCACCACAGTATGAGTTTTTATTTGAGAAATATACTTCTTTATTAAAACTACTAAGCAGTTTGCAACGTCATGATTCAACATATGATAATAACTCATTAATGTTTGGAATTATTATTATGTGGCTATCTGTTTTTATGCTTATTATGTGTTTAACTGTTCAATATAAAAATATTACTCATGTCTTTTATTTTAGTTTTAAACCATCCATTAATAAAACCTATTTTTCTTTAGTGCTTGCTTGTTTGGTTTTATACCTTTATAAATCTGATAAACATTTTACATTTTATTTTATCATACTTCCATTATCCATACTAATTATGAGTCTAACCACTTTTATGCTATATTATTTGAAAATGCTGTTGTCAACTGTTATGTCATTAACAGTAATGGAAAAATTATGCATAGTTTCGTTCATTTTGCATGCTTTGAGCTTATTTTCATCCAGCTATATAGAAAAAGAACACATTTTATGGTATTTTGTTATTGCTACTATATTTATATTGTTTATAATCAAGGACAGTATCTTAGCTATTAAGTTGTGTCAAGTTGATAACTCCAATACTAATTTGCTTAATATTAATCAAAGAAACTGTTCTAACTTTAGCGCACTTTCTATTCTAATTATATCTCATTTCATGTTTCGAGATTATGCTTTTAGTTGCAACGAAGAAATCATTCCGATGAATTTCTTTCATTTAAAAGAATTGTTTATTGAAAATCCTATAGCTTTGTTCATTGGTCAATTATTAACTTTGATTTTATTTTGGTACAAACAAAAGAATAAAACTGTATTCTGTTTATTTTGCTTCGGTTCGATATTAGTTTATGTTTATAAAGCTCAATTACAAGCTTTGACTTTAGTTATAAATATGTTTAACATAAATCTAACAACTATTCCTCAGTTAATATACTTTCTTGTAGTGATAATTATTGTATATTCGTTTTATGTAAGTTATTTTAATGATTCAGATTTATTTTTTGAAAGTATTAAAAACAATACAGTTGATATTATATGTGCCTGGATTTTATTAACTCATCTGATTGGGCAGAATTATCTAATTACATATACAACAGTGATAATAGTTCAAGATATATATCTTGGTCAAATTACTAGTAAAAATAAAATCTTGGTAAATATATGTATTTATCTACAAATGGCTATGTACTCATTTTTTTGTCAAGGCAATTCTAACAATCTATCAACAATTGACGTTTCCAGTGGTTATGTTGGTCTCTCATCATATCAACCAATTTTAGTTGGAAGCTTAATTACTTGTAACACATACAGATCTGTAATTTTGTGGCTACTTTTATTATATTTAAGAGGGCTGAATTTTTTTTGTGATCCTAAATTAAAGTATAACCCAAAAATTTTTACAAATATTATTAATTCATTTCTATATATCATAGCTTATCGTTTTTCAATATTAGCTTTATATTGCATTATAATGTATTCAATGAAACACCATTTATTTGTTTTGTCTGTGTTTGCACCTAAACTTTTTTATGAAATAGCACATACATTTATATTTATAATATGCTTATCTTGTTTGATTTTATATTATTATGTTGCACAAATCATTACAAAACAATCTAAGTCAAAATAAAATTTACTATAAGCTTCTTTGAGTTTTCTTTCTCTTTCTAATTACAAATATTTATTATTATGACTTAAGCCTAGATTTGATAACCTTTGCATTTAGAATTTTTTTTCTTCTTCTTTCAAAGATTTTTTTTACATATTAAGATTTTTTCAAATATATTTTTCTAATATCTTTTTCCTTTGTCACCCTAACGATTAATATCTTCTGCAATTTTGTTTCCCTCACGAATTGCTTTTTTTCCTCTTTAACATTCATAAAATTCGTTATTCATTTATTACATCGTGATTTTCATTAATATACGTGTTTTAATTAATATACATGTTTTAATAAACTATTTAGATAGTATTTTTCGGCGAAAGCGCCGCACCTCGATAAAAATGAAATTTTTTAAAAAAAAGTTATAGTAAGCGCCGCAATGGTGCTAAGCCGCGCATATCAGCATCCTTTTAGAAGAGACCTTTAAATTACCATTTAGAGTATCTGTATAATAAAAAATTAAATTTTTTTATGCATTTCATAAAGTAAAGTTTTAATTTCTAAATTATAATAAAAAATTTCTTTTTCAGCAAAAAAAAGCAACAAAAAAAGTTTTCTCTTTCAGCAAAAAAAANGTGGGATTTTATTAGCTTCAGACGGAAAAAGAATTTTACTCTCTCTATTCTAAGCTGTTTAGAATTATATTAATACATTTTCTTCATTTATTAAGTACATAACTAGTAAAAATTTTGGAAGATTTTTATTGCTTCAATTTATTCATTGAAATATGCTCTATTGAATTTAAGGTTATGAAGTTCTTTTTAAAAACCTTTTCAAAGTTTCTTTAAAAAAAACTCATGAACAGTTCATCATCATTTTACATATAGACTTTATTCTTTTTAATAGGATATAAAAAAATTTTTTTTGGTTTGGCTTTTCCCTGATCTAAAAGTTTTGCCAACTAAGACATGGGGTCAGTTCTCTGACTTGGGAGTTTTGGGTACACGCTTCAAGATGTACTGATGGTACCATTCTAAAACAGACAAAAAAGTTTAATCTTAAGAGAGGACTAGAAATATTCCATCTTTCTCTTTACGTTATAAATGAACGATTTCATGTTGAAAATGTTTTGAAAACAAGCTTTTCATTTTAATACAAAATATTTTCCACCACTGCACAAACAATATTTTAAATCGTAACTTTACTATTAAAATAAAAATTCATTTGAAATATATATATAAAAATCGAAAATTTGATTGGTGCATTTTAAGCAGAAAGATCGTACCAAATTCAGAAAGAATGTTCCTTAAGTTTTTAAGAATCAGGAATTGTATTTTATTATTCTATAAGATTTGAACTTTTTTATTGTACTTTTATTTTTCTGATAGAAGTATTTAAAATATCGATAAAAGAATTATTATTAAATAAAGAATAATCACGTGAAAACTATGCACTTGGATTGTTCGAAAAGTTGACCGTCAAATGATTGTTTACTTTCAAAAAGTTGCTGGAACTCCAAAAGCTCTGTATTGCAGACCAGATCCATGTACTGCTAAGACAATCTTGAATCATATTATTTCCTTGCTACTAACCAATCCTACTTAAATTTTTAGCAAAAGAGATTTACAAAAATGATTTCAGTTTCATGTACAACATAAACATCTCCCCTAAGAATTACAATATGCTTGCTAATCTTACGATACTAATCTAATATTACAATATTTTTCCCTTCTATTTATGCATATATTTTCACAAAGGTAATTAAAAATAATTGGACATCCGTAATTTTGAAGCTTTCCCTTTCACTGATACAAAAAACATCTTACTATATGGAGAGGTTTAAAAACTGCACAAATATTTCTGATGATTTACATCTTCTCTCTTGTCAGCAAAAATAAGCAAATCATAAATCATTTTTATAGATGCTTCTATAATATTTGAAGTACTACTATTTAAAGTTCTATAATATTTGATACTACTGAGAAAAAATAACTTCCCAATCTTTCAATTATTAGTTTACATTAGCTTACTTAAATAATTACTTTAAAATAAACAAAATGCAATAGGATTTTTTTTGTAATGTTTTTAACACTTTTAAAAAACTTATATTAACCTTCATAACTTATTGCTAAAAATGTATGTGTAATCCAGTCTGCAGATTGGATAAGAATAACAATCCATAAATGTAACACTTTAATGTAAAAAAAATGGCATGATCAATTATGATCAATTCAAAATGAGGGCAGTTTCAACACATCCTAAATTAGTCAACAGAAATAAGGCATACCACAATATCTAAACAAACCAATGGCATAGTCAATGAATAATGTCAAAATGATTACAAAAAATTACATAGGCAGTAATTTTCCACATAAAATTTATGAATTCACTCGAAGAATTCAACCACTTCACCAAGTTCTCTCTTTTTTGCTTCCTGATGTGCCCAGCGATCTTCGGCCAACTTTGGAGTTATTTTCCATTTGTCATGGTAAATTCGTTGCTTACAACTAGGACATTTTTTACCTCCTGTATTTAGGACAAAAATTTAAAATGTAAGACATAATTTATTTATACATGCCTATTTCAAATATGTAGGGAAAATATGATAATGTATTTTATCATTTAGACTTGACATTAATTTATTTAACAATTTCAATTACTGTTTTAATGAAATTAAAAATTTTAAACATCATTAAATTTTTAGATAATTATTGTTTATAGAGAAATATTTATTGTATAGGTGCATAAGTGTAACTATACCATAACATGTTTTGTTGAAATTTTAAATTGCTAACTGCATATTCTACACTTACTGATGCAGAAAATGTCTTTATTTTTCATATTAACCCTCAAACATACACCTTTAAATGCTTTTAAAAGCAGGTAGTATTTTTTGCAAAAAGTTGAAAAAAAACACCCATTTTAAACTTACATTTTAGTTTCAAAATAAACACTCTAAAAATAATAATTTTGTACATCATTTTTAAAAAGTTACCACGAATGTTTAGTAGTTACAAATACAGCAGGGAACCGATTATCCGGAATGATCGGGACCATCAATATTCCTGATATAACTGATTTTTCCGGTTTTCTGAATCGCTACAAAAAGCCGTTTAGTTAAACCCAACTAAAAAAAAAAAATTAAAAATAATCTTCAAAAGAAGAAAAAATGAAGAAGTAATACACTAATGATTATTTCCAAAATGATGGTAAAGTAAACATCTTTAAAAAAAGAACGAAAAATCCTAAAATCTTATGAGGAAAAATTTTTTTTTTTTTTTAAATGGCGGGAAAACTAATTGAATTTCGTTCCGGTTTTTTGGTTTTCCGGTTTTCTGATTTTCGGATAACGGGTTCTGTACAGTACATTTAATATGGTTCCCCCTTAATTTCAGAAAGAAAAAATTCTTGACTTTTCCAGGTATACTAGGTAAATTTCAATGCAAATTGAAACCATATTTTATCTATGCCATGCGATTTTTTATCCGGAAACTTTGATTCTTTTATTAGTAATGCCAAATATTAGATTTTCTGTGTAAAAAAATATCATTGAATAAGAATGGGGACATTTCAGTTTGACTAAAATGTGAAATTTTAACTACAAATAAATGTAATATATGTTAGAATTATTTAACTCGAATCCCTATAACTGATTACTGTTACTGACAATTTTAAGACTGATTATTTTCTAGGTTCAGGTATGATAAAGGAATTTTCCTGGTTATGTAAAAGAATTCCTGTTTTACGGTTTTTGAAAAGAAATCCTTTCCCTGACTATTCCCTGAATTTGATAGTTAAAAGAAAATTCCTGACAATTCTAGGTTTTCTCCGATCTCCGGGGGAAGTTCTGAGTTTATATTCAGGAATAAAGAATGCTACATTTATAATCTACAGATCACTATTATACTAGCAAACTAAGCTGATTTTTTTCAATGAAGGGTGCTTTAAGCTAGAGTGTACTATAAATTACCAATAAAAATATTTTTCTTTTTAGCAATACAGTCTCCTTTTGAGTGTATCATATGCAAATTCATCCTTGAACAATTAAAAACAGGTATGTATTCAATCCTATTTATACAAGAAAGATTTTATTTTGCCAATTGAATCTTAACTGTCTATTTTATTGTACAGTAGGGAACCGATTATCCCAAATGATCAGGACCACCACTATTCCGGATAACTGATTTTTCGGTTTTCTGAATCGCTACAAACAGCCGTTTTATTATTGTTAAACCCAACTAAAAAAAAAAAATTTGGAAATAATCTTAAAAAGAGAAAAACGATGAAGTAATACACTAGTGATTATTTCCAAAATGATGGTAAGGTAAACATCTTTTGAAAAAAAAAAGAAAAATCCTAAGATCTTATGAGGGAAATTTTTTTTTTTTTTTTTAAAATGGCGGGAAAATTTATCGAATTTTGTTCCGGTTTTTTGGTTTTCCGGTTTTATGATCCGGTTCTGTACTGTATATCTTATCTAATATTAGCTATTTTGTCAGAAATTTCCCTTGCAAAAGCATTGCACCTTGAAGAGCTGTTTTGCTGTGAAACAGTGCTTCTCCTTTGAATAAGATATAGGAAAACCAGTTGTAGTCAACCAAGATTCAACAATTGGGCTCATTTACAGACCCAATGAAAATTAAAAATACTGAGTTGGGGAAAAGATGCCTATGTGTCAACATAGCACATATGATGCACAATTAAACAAAATAACACTGAAAGCACTGCTAAAAACATACTGAATTCAGTAATAAAAAAATCCTAAAAAATCACATGCCTGAATTTACTGTCTACAGTTCAATGCTACGAGCAGAAAACTTGATTAAAATTTCCAAATGCAAATATTAGTTAATAAGCTAAAGAAATTTGGTACAAATTATTATGTACACATAAATATTTTTAACATTTCAAATTTAATAAAATACAAAAGTATCTCTTTTTTTTCAAATAAAGTGTGAAAATAAAATACCATGGAATGGTGGTGTCTTCATGTATGTATCTAAGCATATATTATGAAATATATGCCCACAATACACTTTTTCAATGTGTTTTTCATCATGTTCGTTTGAGACACATTCCTAAAAAAAATTAACAATTATTTATATTATCATTATAACAGAAATTTANAAACAGACAAAAAACTTTAATCTTAAGAGAGGACTTCCATCTTTCTCTTTATGGTATAAAAAAACGATTTTGTGTTGAAAATGTTTTGAAAACAAGCTTTTCATTTTAATACAAAATATTTTCCACAGCTGCACAAACAGCATTTTATATCGTAACTTTCCTATATAGAAAAAAAAATTCATTTGATATATATAAGAATAACAATCCATAAATGTAACACTTTATTGTAAAAAAAATGGCATGATCAATTTATATTCAAAATGAGGGCAGTTTCAACACATCCTAAATTAGTCAACAGAAATAAGGCATACCACAATATCTAAACAAACCAATGGCATAGTCAATGAATAATGTCAAAATGATTACAAAAAATTACATAGGCAGTAATTTTCCACATAAAATTTATGAATTCACTCGAAGAATTCAACCACTTCACCAAGTTCTCTCTTTTTTGCTTCCTGATGTGCCCAGCGATCTTCGGCCAACTTTGGAGTTATTTTCCATTTGTCATGGTAAATTCGTTGCTTACAACTAGGACATTTTTTACCTCCTGTATTTAGGACAAAAATTTAAAATGTAAGACATAATTTATTTATACATGCCTATTTCAAATATGTAGGGAAAATATGATAATGTATTTTATCATTTAGACTTGACATTAATTTATTTAACAATTTCAATTACTGTTTTAATGAAATTAAAAATTTTATTTAAATACTTATTATATGTATAAAATCATTACATTTTTAGAGAATTATTGTTTATAGAGAAATATTGTATAGGTGCATAAGTGTAAACTATACAATAACATGTTTTGTTGAAATTTTAAATTGCTAACTACATATTCTACACTTACTGTTGCAAAAAATTTCTTTATTTTTCATATGTACCCTCAAACGCACACCTTTAAATGCTTTTAAAAGCAGGTAGTATTTTTTGCAAAAAGTTGTAAAAAACACCCACTTTAAACTTACATTTTAGTTTCAAAATAAACACTCTAAAAATAATAATTTTGTACATCATTTTTAAAAAGTTACCACTAATTTTTAGTAGTTACAAATACAGTAGGGAACCGATTATCCGGAAAGATCGGGACCATCAATATTCCGGATAACTGATTTTTCCGGTTTTCTGAATCGCTACAAAAAGCCGTTTAGTTAAACCCAACTAAAAAAAAAATTTAAAATTATCTTAAAAAGAAGAAAAAACGATGAAGTAATACACTAATGATTATTTCCAAAATGATGGTAAGGTAAAAATCTTTCAAAAAAGAACGAAAAATCCTAAAATCTTATAAGGAAAAAAAAAATTTTTTTTTTTTAAATAGCGGGAAAACTAATTGAATTTCGTTCCGGTTTTCTGATTTCCGGATAACGGGTTCTGTACTGTACATTTAATATGGTTCCCCCTTAATTTCAGAAAGAAAAAATTCTTGACTTTTTCAGGTATACTAGGTAAATTTCAATGAAAATTGAAACCATATTTTATCTATACCATGCGATTTTTCATCCGGAAACTTTGATTCTTTTATTCGTAATGCCAAATATTAGATTTTCTGTGTAAAAAAATATCATTGAATGAGGATGGAGACATTTCAGTTTGACTAAAAAGTGAAATTTTAACTACAAATAAATGTAATAGATGTTAGAATTATTTAACTCGAATCCCTATAACTGATTACTGTTACTGACAATATTAAGACTGGTTATTTTCTAGGTATGATATAGGAATTTTCCTGGTTTTTGTAAAGAAATTCCTGTTTTTTGTAAAGAAATTCCTGTTTTTTGTAAAGAAATTCCTGTTTTTTGTAAAAAAATCCTTTCCCTGACTATTCCCTGAATTTGATAGGTAAAATAAAATTCCCTGACAATTGCAGGTTTCCTCTGATCTCCCTGACCCGTGGGAAGTTCTGGGTTTATATTTGGAAATTAAGAATAAAGAATGCTACATTTATAATCTACAGATCACTATTATAATAGCAAACTAAGCTGATTATTTTTTTTTCGATGAAGGGTGCTTTAAGCTAGAGTGTACTCCTTGTACTATAAATTACCTATGAAAATATATTTTTTTATAGCAATACAGTCTCTTTTTGAGAGCATCATATGTAAATTTATCCTTGAACAATCAAAAATTAGCCCTGTGGCAGAATTTTTTCGAGCTATCTGCGACAAAACTCTCTATCACTATTATCTTTCTGCAAGATACTTTTAATAATAGCAAACATATTGTATGTTACAAATTTAAAGTAGGGTGACCCAGGGTAATTCACGATCACTCTGTTTCTGGGGTAAATAATGATCACCTAAGTTTTATTTTAAAAAAAATTTTTTTTAAATTTAAGACATGGACAAGAATGCTTGTACACTTTACTAAAGTATGACTACATTTATTTAATAATATTTTTTTTTAATCTAACAAAATAAGTATCTTTTAAACTGCTTTCTGTATTTTCCATTTCAAAGATGGGCTTCAAAATGTGCACATTTCTGCAAAGATTCCCCTCCTTCTCTTAATAATAAATATTTTGAGTTACTTTCTTTTTCTTTGATATAAAAATAGTGTAAGCTTTTGTTTAATTGTTTCACATCTACTGTAAACATTATAATTGATTATAGGAAACTATATCAAATGTTGCCCCCTACANGCTTGATACAGTTTCAAAAAAGGTGAAACTAGCTCCGACACATTTAAGAAAAAGTTCAGCTTAACAAGAATTAATTTGTCTTTTATTGCTTCTTGTAAAGTTAAAAAGGATTTACATTTCACTGTTCTAAACTTGCCAACATTTTACACATAAGAATTCAGATCATTCCAAAGCAATATTGCTCTTTCAGCTGCAGGTGCATTTTCCAGCCAACGGTGGTTACAAAATTTTAGTGGTAATTTGTTCTCAGTTGATTGATTAATAAAATCTTCTTTTCTTGTGGGTGAATCTTTAAAAAGATAGAAGATTGAGCTCAGGATGGAACCAATGAGCCATTCTGTTTCAGATTCACCTTTGTAGAATGCGTTATTTAAAATATGAAGCCCACAACTTTCTTTTAATGATTGAAAATGAAAATTTCAGTGTGAGAGCTGCTGCCAGAGCTGTTGACATACCTTACTTAACTTTCCCTTAATGAAGTTAAAAAATCCAGCAAAAGTAACCCATGTGGGAACTCTCTTACATTTCAGAAGAACATGAGAATGAGTTGGCTGATTGCCTAAAACAGTGTTTCCCAAAGTGTGATATGCGTACCCCCAGGGGTACGGGAACAGTTTAGCTGGGGTACGCGTTCTTATGCGAAATATCTTGCAACAAACGAAGATTTCAAAATTTTTTATTTAAAACCAAAGCTAGTCATGAAAATTTACGATTACATATTTTTCTATTTGCTATTTTTTGCAGAGTTAAGGGTTAATAATTAGTGGTGTCAACAGCCAGTTGCGATTTTTAACTTTTATGCAATTTTTTATAGTAAAAAATACATTCATTTTTTTATTGGTGGTACACAGCGTTACGAAAAATTTAGAAAAGTCATAAGTTACACAAAAGTCATAAGTTTGGGAAACACTGGCCTAAAATGTATGGCACGATGCAAAGATTTCAAAAATTTAAAGTGTTAATCGTTTTTCTTGCTTTTAAATAAATCATTTTATTAGCTTCTTAAACATATCTTTTTGGTTTATTTGTTTGAACTTGATGTCTTATTTGTTAATTACCATTATATAATTATTTTTAAACAGCCCCTTTACAATAAAAACTGGTGATCAGTAGTTACCCCAGAAGTGATCAGGAATTACCCGAGAAATGATCAAGACCAGGGGTAATTCCTGATCACTAAAAATTTAAAATCTTTTAAATTCTAATTAGATTTTCAAACAAAAGAAGGTGGCATTGGACTCATCTCATATAGCCTCAAACTTCCAGTAAATATTAAAATTCTATTTTGAATAGTTTTTTCACAAAATAGATGTTGGCGTTTTTTGATCAGGAATTACCCCAGGTCACCCTAATAGAAGTGCTGAAAACTATATAATTTATTAATATTAGGTGTGATATTCTCGCATTTTGTGGGGGGGGGGACACAAATTATTTCTTTCTCAACATTTTGTAAATAATTACCACAGTAAAATATAAAATTAAAAATCATAAAACCCGTAGTGGTAATTGCCGAAAAAAATTGAGAGCAAAATTACGCGAATCGGGCTCCTCAAATGCGTGTTTCGTTTTGACATTACGTTGTTGTAATAAATAATATCACATAAAAATATCGGATTTAAAAACTACGGAGAAATCAATAGCAATAACTGCCAAAAAATCGATAGAATTTATTGCCTTAAAAAGTAAATACTCAAATGAACGATTCGAATTTTCCATATTGTTTGAAATATATCGGGATATTTAAAATCCACATGAAAATCAATATCAATAACTGCCAAAAATACAATCGAGACATTACATCGATTTACAATACTATCGTCGTAAATTAAGAGCGTTAAAAAGTGATTATCTAAATGCACGATTCAAATATTACGTGTAAATTTCTGTAGAAAAGAAAAATGACTATTTTTTTCTTTTTTTTTTACTTCTTAAAAGAAAAATAATTTTTCTGCAAGAACTCTGTAACGTTCTGCGACAATGTCATCGTGTCGCAGCTATTCTGCCACGGGGAAAATTAGTATGCATTCAGTAAACCTATTTATACAAGAAAAATTTGATTTTGCCAATTGAATCTTAACTGTCAATTTTATTTTATATCTTATCTGACTAATATTAGCTATATTGTCAGATATTTTCCTTGCAAAAGCATTGCACCTGGAAGAGCTGTTTTGCTGTGAAACAGTGCTTCTCCTTTGAATAAGATATAGGAAAACCAGTTGAAGTCAACCAAGATTCAACAATTGGGCTCATTCACAGACCCAATGAAAATGAAAAATACTGAGTTGGGGAAAAGATGCCTATGTGTCAACATAGCACATATGATGCACAATTAAACAAAATAACACTGAAAGCACTGCTAAAAACATACTGAATTCAGTAATAAAAAAATCCTAAAAAATCACATGCCTGAATTTACTGTCTACAGTTCAATGCTACGAGCAGAAAACTTGATTAAAATTTCCAAATGCAAATATTAGTTAATAAGCTAAAGAAATTTGGTACAAATTATTATGTACACATAAATATTTTTAACATTTCAAATTTAATAAAATACAAAAGTATCTCTTTTTTTTCAAATAAAGTGTGAAAATAAAATACCATGGAATGGTGGTGTCTTCATGTATGTATCTAAGCATATATTATGAAATATATGCCCACAATACACTTTTTCAATGTGTTTTTCATCATGTTCGTTTGAGACACATTCCTAAAAAAAATTAACAATTATTTATATTATCATTATAACAGAAATTTATATATATTTTTTTTTGTTATTTAGGGACGCCTAAAAAAATTTAAAAAAAAAAGCCTTAAAAATGAAAAGTAATTTTAAAGAAATGTCAGAATCATAATTATTGCAGTAAAGGTACTAATATTCAATATGGATGGTAAAGCTTCAAATTTTGGCACAAATTAGTACCGTCTTTACGCATAGGCACACCCAGGCAATGTCCGGGGGACCTAAGCACTCAGGATTCCCTTGAGAATCTTACTTTTTATAAATTGTATTAAAAAAAAAACTAAAAATAAACAACTTTGCATTATATATATATTTTAAAATAAATATATTATCGTCTAAAAAGTGTGAATTTTTTTCCTACAAATAGTGATTGATTATCATGCAACAATGAATAATTTGAATAGTTTCAATAAAACATAAAAAAACAATCGAAATCTATTTTTCTAAGTTAAAATGAAGTTTTTAGGTACTCAACTTTCTAAGTCATAATATCTCCAAATATGCTTGACCACCACCAACTTTGCTTAGTATTTATAATTAGTTAAATAAAGTAATAATTGAAAGAGTTTAGAATTACACAGCACTATCAGACAGCAATTTTTAAACTGGTTATGTCTGATGTGCATTGAAAGATGTTTTAATAACTGACTGTAATAGTTTGACAAAATAATTCACACCTTTTCAATTTTTTTCATTTGCTTTACCCTTAGGTTTTGTAATTTAATTATTTTAATTAGCTTCTTGGTTTTGAAAATTATTTTATCATTTGAAGATTGCAATTAACATCTCAATTTTTTAAAAATTATGCATCATTTAAAATTGCTTTATTTTATGTTCATTGAGTTTCTGGGGTAATGTGTTTAAGTTTGTTAAAATTATTGCATATCTTAAAAATGCTTTATTTTATGTATGTAAAGTTTTTTAGTTTGATTTTAAACAGAATGACATGTTATAGGGGCTCAAAACATTTCTGTGCCTGGGGGCCCTGCTTGCTATTAAGACGGCCCTGGCACTAATAGCCACGGATCTGAATATTTTACAAGGCAGAACTTTTTATAAAAACTAACATATTTTTAACCATTACTTTTTTAAATTAAAAATATTTCAGGAAATTTAGTCGGGAGCATTTTTTCATTTTGTAAATACATTATATATATATATNGGATGGTAAAGCTTCAAATTTTGGCACAAATTAGTTCCGTTTTTATGCATAGACACACCCAGGCAACGTCCGGGGGACCTAAGCACCTTAGGGAGCCCTTGAGAATCCTACTTTTTATAAATTGTATTAAAAAAACTAAAAATAAACAACATTGCATCATATATATATTTTAAAATAAATATATTATCGTGTAAAAAGTGCAAATTTTTTTTCTACAAATAGTGATTGATTATCATGCAACAATCAATAATTTGAATAATTTCAACAAAACATAAAAAAACAACCGAAATCTATTTTTCTAAGTTAAAATGAAGTTTTTAGGTACTCAACTCTCTAAGTCATAATATCTACAAATATGCTTGACCACCACCAACTTTGTTTAGTATTTATAATTGGTTAAATAAAGTTATAATTGAAAGAGTTTAGAATTAAACAGCACTACCAGGCAGCAACTTTTAAACTGTTTATGGCTGATGTACATTGAAAGATGTTTTAATAACTGACTGTAATAGTTTGAAATAATTCACACCAATTCAATTTTTTCACTTGTTATACCCTTATGTTTTGTAATTTAATTATTTTAATTAGCTTCTTGGTTTTGAAAATTATTTTATCAATCTAGGATTGCAACTGGTTAGCATCTTTGTTAAAATTATTGTATATCTTAAAAATGCTTTACTTTACGTATATAAAGTTTTTTTAGTTTGATTTTAAATAGTTTAGATTTGTATAGGGGCTCAAAACATTTATGAGCCTGGGGGCTCTGTTTGCTACTAAGACAGCCCTGGCACAAATAGTGGCGGATCTAAATACTTTTCAAAGCAGAACTTTTTATAAAAACTAACATATTTTTAACCATTATTTTTTTAATCAAAAATATTTCAAGAAATTTAGTCGGGAGCATTTATTTTTTCACTTTGTAAATATATTATATATATATGGGCAAATGAACATGAATTCAGAGCCTGCCTATAACAAAAATCTAAATTTTTTTGACTATTAGTAAATATAATTATAAATATTTACAAAAATTTATCTTTTTCATGAAGTTATCTTTGGATAAACTAATTTTATAATTGTGAGCAAAAATGTTTCAATCTGCTTTCAAAGTTTTCAAGAAGGGGTGAAATATGCAAAAAGTAAAATTTACATTATGGGGTACAAGCATTGGATCGCTCTCCTGACCTAACTATAGGGACCATATTTCTCGAATCGTGGCTACCCCCTATATTTTGGGGGTCAGAAATCAATCAAAAAAAGGTATGTTTATTCAGAGAAAGTACATAATCTTGTAACTTAAAATATCATCTGCACTAATTAACTAGCACATTTGAGGTTATCCCCTCGAACCATTAAGTTGGAATCTCAGAACTTAAAGATCCGATCATTAGATCAAAAGTTATTCAGGGTGGTCCATTTTCTTTATAGCGCAGTACAAGAATGTTAACCCAATGTTGGAGCTCTTTCATTTTCCCCATGAGCCAGCAATTCTTATTGTATCCCACAGACATCCGGGAGGTCAGCTGCATTGTAAAGGAATTGCCTGTTAGACAAGTTACAGTAGACATTGGATAATCACTGAAACCTGTCACTTAATAATTTCAGTGAAAGTTTGTTTTGGTGGATGGCTTTTTTTTGGACAGTGACGTCAAAGTGATGTCATTTTCTGGCAAGACATAAACTCCAGGACAGGTTGGCAAAAATTTCAAGTAACCCAAAACACTTAATCATTCACAAGACTAAACTAAAAGCATTTTAGTTCTGTTTTTCAAACAATTTAAATTATTGGTAATAAACAATTAAAATAAACAATTAAATTAAACATGATTGGTCACAAACCTAACTAATAAAAATGCAACAGACCTACATAATAATAAAGCGAAAGAACATGAATAAAGCACAAATGAAAGTAAAAATATGGACATACTGTAATTTCGGTCCACTGAAACTATACAAAACATTTCTGTGCTTACATTACATTGTTTTTTGCTCTAGTCTACATTGCATAAAATAAACTATATCCTTTTTGGCTATATAATAATATCTAGAATACATAAAAATATCTAGAATAGTGAGTTGTTTATAGATACTTACAGAAGGGTTTTTAGAAAAGCAAAATTCTTTACATAATTGGCATATTTCAGTAGGAAATCTCTTTACTTCATCTCTAAGAAATTTTAAAGTTGGCCACAAAGAAGGTTTTGGTTGAAACACAGGATCTCTATAAAAATTTAATAACATAATAATTGAGTACAAATACAGTCAATTCGCTATAACTCGAAGTACAATAACTCGAATATTACCATAACTCGATTTTTTTATGAGGTCCCGACCCTTTTATTTTCAATTTCATGCTATACTAA